TTGACATTTGAATACTGTCTTGAAATTTCTCGACATATTCTCGACATTCTTATTTTTTCTCAGTATGGCTTGACATATTCTGAACATTTTGAATCGTGTCTTAAATTTACTTGACAGGTCTGAGTTTTACAAATCATGACCAATATTCATAATATAACTTTAATCTTTATTTCTCTTTATATGATATACTGTTATTTCAAGTTACACTTCTTTACAACAAAAATAAAAGTTGGGCATGTAAAATAATTGAAAATTTGGGTAAATGAATATTTTTACAAATGCAAATATGGCTATGAAATCTAAAGTATAAAATAATTTAAATGTGGGTGTGTTGATATAAAACAATTTCAATGTGGGTTTTTAAATAATTACAAATTTTGATTCCTGAATCTTATAAATTAAATGATTCAAACCAATCATACTACAGACATATTTCATTCTACATTCATAATATTCAATGTTGATATGGTAATAATTATTATACCAAAATGTGGTTTTTATAAATAGAAAATTATGATGATATACAAATCATTCATTTAACAGAAGAAAAATTTGTGTAATGTCATCTGTTGGAATATATTAAGTATTACACATGGACAGGATGTTCCCCTTAAAATTAAGGTATTCCACACCCAGAGTACACGCAACTGTCAAATAGAAGTTATTGCTTTACCTGTAATCAGCCATACAACTTATCAGTTGACCGACCATGCCACTACAATTCAAAAAGTTTGTTGATAGATGAAAATGAAAATCATCATTTTGATGAAAAAAAATTGAATTGAAATGGATTTTCTTCATCAAAATTATGAAGTTAATTATTTTAACATAAAAACAAATTGAATAATTCCCAAAGATTAAAAGAAAATTATTATCTACTCCAGGAATAATAAAAAAAATGTATTTATAATGGGTCCCATCAATGATTTTTATAGAAATCATCGGTCTTATGAAATGGTTCTCAAACAGACATGCATAATATAGATCTAAACATTTTATTCTTTTCAGGAAGGAGTTATCACAAATATTTATTTTTGATAAAAATTATAAAATTCAACACTCAAATTTGAATAAAAAATGTTTTTGGGTTGTTCTTAAAAATGAATAAGGTTTTTGAATCAAGATGGGAACAAATTCTTTGACCTAAACGAAAGCCCCCCCCCCCCCTCTTTTTTTAGCCACACAAACCCAAAAGATGAATTACGGGGTCCAAAAGAGATACAAGACACCTATTTTAGTAAAGCAAATTTGACTGGCAGTTTTGCGAACGGCAAAAATCTAAATGCTGTTTGTCAATACCTTCGACTTATATTCCAAGGAAAACAATTACTTAAATGTTTAATAAAAATAAATCAAAATTAAACTATATGGGGGATTATTCAGGGTATTCCAACTCAGTTGCACCAAAAGGGTATCTTACTATACCAAATTAATCCTTGATTCTTCAAAGTTTAGTTTAGCCATAATAAAAAAGGAGTATATAACAGCAATAGAATGTCATAAACAGTGCAGAATAAGTCTGTTCACATTTCAGGTGAAATTTATAATGTTGAGATAGTGTCAAGACATATTTAAGACTGTCAAGAATGTGTCGAGACATATTCAGACATTATTTAGAATGTCAAGAATATGTCGAGACATATTCAGACATTATTAAGAATGTCGAGAATATGTCAAGACAGATCGAGACAAATTTAAGACAGTCAAGAATTGGTCGAGACTAATCCAGACTCTTATCAGATGATACAGGAAGTGTCGAGAAATTTTAAGACAATGTTCATACTGTCAAGACACTTGTCAAGAAAAATCAAGAACCTTATTAGACAAATTCATACTATGTCAAGAATTTTTAAAAATTATTCAGACAAATTAAGAATGTCGAGTAAAAATTCATGCAAATTCAGACAAAAACTGGTCTTTTCAGACTTTTTGACTTTTGTAGTGAGACAAACAGTGCTTTTTCAAATACAATGTTGCTATTTGAAAATACTGGGAATAAAACTACATGTAGGTCCAGGCACATAACATGCATTATGGAAAGTAAAACAAGTTTTATATGCAAATTATACCCTTGTCCCCTTTATTTACAACTTACAAGGTAGTAAGGAACCAGTTTGAATGGGTAAACTGGCAAGTCAAACATTTCAGGCCAAATCTTTCATGCATAAATCAATGGCAAATTAGGCAATTTTTGAAAGTCTTTTAATTCTTTAATCCTGACCAATTGTTGGTCTCTTATGAAAATGAAAAAATCTCTGGTTTGTTTTTGATCTTACAAAATCATTTATATTTTTTTTCACTTTAACAACTTCTGGTCAAGTTCTGTTATAAAATATCTAGATTTCTAGCAAGAATTCAATGACAAAACACTGTATTAGGTTTGATCTTGATGTGCAAGACAGTAATTGAAAAAGTTACCAAGATAACCAAAAAGACAAAGGCCAGACTACACGAATGAATTTTATTTTTACAGGACATTCGGTCTGGTAAAGAACCTAGCTTTACCAGACCGAACGAAATTTTACAAGACCCAATATTTTTTACATCTAATTATCCGACAAAATACAACAAACCTATGACTTGTTGTGCCCTACTCCTCTCCAAAATGCACAAAAACAAAATCGTGTGACAAGAGTGTATATTTTGATGAAAGTTGTGCACAATTGCTTGAATGCATTTCAGTGACAAATAAAAGTTATGTCACATTTTATTGGATTTTGACATGAAAATTATTTGTGAACTAAAAATAATTTAGAGTTTCTGTATAAAATATTTCCTGTTTCTTCTTTCTTTTTCATATATCTTTTGGTTTTCAATTCTAGTGTTTATATTTCATACTCATAGCTGTATTTGTTACCTGCTTGGATTTTTTTTTATTTATTCAATGTATTTGATCGGCAAACCCGGAATTAGCCTTAGCCGTTCCCGGAATCTGATCCGGTATTGTCTACATTTCCGGTTGATGGCAGCCATTGTTGTTTTTGTCAGTCAGATATGTTTTTTCCCGGATTTACACATTACTTGTTGGCGATTTTCGGCATAAAGCTTGTGGTTGAACAAAATAAACATAACTGTCATGAATAATAAAGATGAAAATGAATTTTGAGATCGTTTGGGATTTTGCTAGAATGCTAGAAAAATCCATGAAAAAAACAACACCGGACATTCGGACCGGAATTCAACAAAATTTTACCAGACCGATCCATTATTCACCGGATTTATCCGATGGTCCGACGAATTTCGTGTAGTCTGAAAGGCTTACTTCATTTATTTGTTCAAGATTAATTTTCTCTAAATATTAATAGCAAACAGCAGAAAAATTCTGAAAATGTAGTGAGTGCACCAATCCAGTCCCTTTAAATACTATCCTGTCTGATTTGTTAAATTATCTTTGAATTACATGTAAGCTACATTTTGTAAGTCTACACTTAAAATAAGGGTTTGTCAGGAAACACATAACACAGGCTATTTCATCTGGTAAGTCTGTGTTCATTTCATCAAAATTACATCAAATGAAAGGATTAACTACATGCATGTGGACCGGATGAAAATATAGATGTATACTGGTCAGCATGGCACGGTTGTTTTCCTAATAGATGTAGTTATTTTGGATTTTGCAACACTTTTTTTATGCAAAATGTTGTAACTGTGTCAGACACTTGAATCAAAGTCATACAACAATCACTCTAAAATGACAACATCCTAAATTCTCTTTTGCATCATAAAAATTGTCTGTGATGTCCAGATACGGTGGATGAATACACCAATCTCAAGTTGATTTTTATGATTGTGTTACACCAGATGACCCAAGGTCAATCGGCGTACATGTAAGTAACGTCATCGAGCAAACAATTATTACTGTGATGTTATAACATAAGCATTGTGACACGAGAAATTTACAGGAAAGCGCAAGAATCTGTCAGTTGTCCGTAGATACATGAGGTCAGGAATGGGTTACATTGTATCCCACATCATCGGCACATGACAATAAAATATTTGTTAAAATAATGTTAACGATAAACATTTTACTGCATTTGACCCTAACAGTAGCTACAAAATGAGATTTTGCCAACGATTTAAAAAAATTATAGCTCATTTGATGCTAACGGTAGCGAAATAAGGACGTTTGGCGATAAACGGCATTCCTACCCTCATACATATAATATAATGTATGGTGTACATGTATGCCCAATTCCTGAACATCAAACTTCTGAATTCAAAGATTTATAAACTGAAACATACTTACTTTTACTGATAATGAGACAATCATATCAAAATGCTCAGTTCTGCAAACTGAGGATTTAGTTTTTTGTAAAGAAGTTGAAGCAAAAACCAAAACTTCAAATTTCATTTTAGCTGGACCAAATCCAATCCAAAACTGCTGTATTGATATGATTTATGGTAAGATGAGCTTTAGAAATGCATTTTTAATGAGAAGCAGAATTTCTTGATCAGGCCTGCCATGATCATAAGCTTTAATAGCCTTGATGACTTTTTAAGTTTGACCATTTTTTGTTTATTTTTGATAACCGGCTACTTACATCTATTGTCTCTCCAACGCCGAATTGACCGGCCATTGTCTTTTTTAATCTGTATTAAAGTCTCTTTCTGTTAATTTTTGTAGATGAATATAAATCTTCATTGTTTACAGATAATCTGAAGATAGTGTATTCCTTTTCAAGCCTTGACACATCGTGTATTCATTTTCAAAATATTTTCTTGACGCGCCTCAACTTGAATGAGGGCAATACCGCAGGGAATAAAATTTAAAAATAATGAAATAAATTGCCATAATAAAATCAATCATATAAGTTTTTACGTTCCATATATATATTTTATTCTACAGTACAAATATTTTTTAAAATGTGAAGTATATTGTTTTATATTAACTATGTAGTTTTTACTGCTGAATGATAACTTCCGTAAGTTCTCGAAGGCGGCGATATTCCATGTGATTTCTCGAAATTTCTTAGAAAAGCCTAGTTTTTATTTGTGTTAAACTTCCTTGTGATTTATTTCTGGATAGTTCTTTACTTGGAGAAATCTTTTTATTTGTCTGTAGATCAACAAAGTTTATTTGTATAGACATTTTTTCATTTTTTTTTGTCAGATAATTTCCAACAGGTAACAAGAAAAGTGTAAAAATGCCGGTCGGTTTTGATATTGGTAACAGTTCCTGTTTCGTTGCTGTAGCGAGACAAGGTGGTATTGAAACAATAGACAATGAATACAGTTCAAGGAATACACCGTAAGTTAATACGATTTTTGTAATTTAGAAATCTTTTGTCCAAGTGGTATTTTATTCATTAGTACATTTGTATGATCGTGCATGTTCGATATAAATTTTAGTGTGATCTGTGTCACTTGTCAGTTATGATAGTATTCAGGATAAAAAGTAATGATAAACAATCCTTTACAATTGAGCGCATAAATGAAATCAAAAATATATTACAAAGAAATATCTACAATATAATTTAAGGAGGTCTCCAGGATCCCGCATACTGTTTTGTTAAATTCCCGTATCCCGCTTACAATATGTACGTAAGCAATTCTCATATTTTTGTAATTTCCCCTATCCCGCTAGACTTCATTTCCGGTTTTCACAAAAAAAATCGGCAATCCTGCGTCACGCTGAGACCCCAATGAGACCCACATTTAAGACGACTTTCACATAGATTTCTGATGCCACAAAATTATGCATATGTTATAAAGTCACAATTACATGTAGGAGTCGGTAAAATTGATTGTTCATTGACGCCATTTACACTGTTTGACAGTGGGTCAACCGGTGCAACCCATTCTTAAAATCCAACTTGAAATTGGTTTGTATTGGAACATGTTGTTGTATAACTGTAATCTATGTTTTGACAAAAAAATCTCCATATCAATTTATTTGGATACATTTACCAGGCATGCGCCGGAAAGTAAACATCAGTACGTTGATGGTTTTCTGTAACGAAAGAAGAAGAAGATAACTTGATATAAATGTATAGTCTAACCAGTTGAGTTAGGGAAGATCTACTTTGGCTCGGTCGGTTAGAGCGCTGCTTTAAGAACCCCAGATTGAGGGTTCGAATCCCACTGGGACCATCCATGTATTTTTTACAATACTGGCTATGCAAGCAACTAATGCTTGGCAGTTTAGTTAATTTGATTGTGTCATCAGGTATGATAGACATCTTGGAATTGGCCAGAGGGTTTTCCGAGTGAAAAATTCTGGGTTGTCCAGTAGTGGACTATGAGCTGCTCTGATTGATGGTATGCAACGTGAAAAAAGAAAATGGGGAAGAGTGTTGTATAACTGCAGATATAAAGGTAGCCCAACTGGTTGAGGTAGGATAGATCTTGTTTGGCTCAGTTGGTAACAGCACTGGCTTTAGATCCTGAGATTGAGGGTTTGAATCCCGCTGGTACCATCCATGTATATTCACTATAATCACTGGTGTTAAACTTATTGTGGTAACTGCATTTACAACGATCACAACATGGCGGAAGTAGAAGTACAAAATGTAGTTAAAATCGTTTTCTGCTAATCTCTCCATGTAAAGAGTCTGTCCGTCTGGACTTGTTAGTGCTCTCAAGTGTACATTCTTGCCAGATGATTTCAGTCTTAAACATTAAAAAATAATTCTCTGACACTTCATTGTCACTTTCATTCATGTTGTTTAAAAAGGCTTAGAGTATTTTTCTGCATAGCTTTTTTTAACTTGAAACTTCTCTGGGTGTTCGTGTAGGCCTTTTCATCAACTTTTCAGTGTTTTACCTGGGATAGCCCCATGTTTCCATTTCAGCATTGAATAAGATCAAAGCCTTGATTGTTTGATTACATTGAATGATACTTATAGAATGTGTTTATTGCAAGCACATGGTCGAGCCTCGTTCTCCATTTTGTTGGTAATTAGGTATATCATGTTGACGACTGGTTCTCTTTGATTAGAACTAGAAGTAACCGAACCCATTCATAATAAAATAGGGATACCAGTAAAATGGTAACTTGTTCTCATAGATTCAATAAAATACAGGCTACAATTTTGCAAACAATCTCAGATCACTAGACCGATCGGGCAATCACCAGTGCTTCTGCACTAGTCCGAAGAGATTTATACTAGACGGGCTTCGGGCTACAGCTTAACGTCTCAGACTGAACTGCTATGTCATTTGGTCTCTGGTGGAGAGTTGTCTCATTGGCAAATATACCACATCTTCTTAATTTTATATGCTGTCTTGGCAAACTTTTGCCTTGCTCATTTTTATCAGGTTTATAAAAATTGGATGCCATGGTTAGAAAGAAAAAAACAGAGCAGCTAGGGGAATTCCTGAACATGCTATATCTGTTTAATTACACCAAATATCAATAGGAATGGTTGATTTAAACATTCAAAATCAATATGTTTACAAAAACAGTTGTATTTAGTAAAAGGCACAAATAATCAAGTTTCTCCTTGAAGGGTAAAAAATGCATATTAGTCATGGCAAGTACCATGGTAGAGAGGGTAAAAAAGGCATATCCTTGTGCATTCACCAAGGTAGTGGTGAAACTATGTAAGATATATATTAGATAAAGGAGAATACATGAAAAATTCTCAGGCTATGGAACTATCAAAACCAAAAGATGGCATACTGTCTTAAAAGAGAGGCGAAAGATACCAAAGGGACATTCAAACTCATAAGTAGAATATAAACTGACAACGCCATGACTAAAAAAGAAACAGACAAACAACAGTACACAAAACACAACATAGAAAACTAAAAGACTGAGCAACATGAATCCCACCAAAAACTGGGGGTGATCTCAGGTGCTCCGGAAGGGTAAGCAGATCCTGCACCACATGTGAACACCTGTCATGTTGCTCATGTTAGTACAAACCTGATGATATGTCTTAATTTGGTAGGTCACATTCAGGGAAAAGGGGTGGGATTGTAGTTGTGACAATTAGAACATATCCGTTGTCATCTGTGAAAAATGTTATCTAGAATATACATTGTACAAAAGATGACCACTGAAAAGGTTCCTGACTAGGGAAAGACCTACAAATCATATTTGGGTGATTGAATAGTGTAAAGTTGTTCAAATGAACTCATATATATAATTTAACAATACAAAAAAGATGTCTGAAATAATTAAAAAACTTTAAAAGATTAGTATATTTCTTCCCTACTGAGACTTAAAAAAAGGAAGGAAAGTATGCCCTTGTACGGTACTTAGTACATTTAAATGGGAAGTAAAGTGTTTCTATTTTTACTATTTTCATCAATTACTTATGTCACAATATTAAGACAAAGTGTTTTATCTCAGTTATTTTGTTTTGTTACATGTATATCAAGGCCAATGGTTTCATTTTATTGTGAATAATTATGCTAGAGAGCAGTGATACATGTGATATGAAGTCTTAAGTAAGGCCTATCTGTTGTACAGATTAGTATGATTCAATGTTGTTGTAAAATAATAAGCTCTTTAAAGTGAGTGATACATCAGGTTAATACTTGTACCTTGTTAGAAAGCAGTACCAATGTATAGAATTTATTAATATCTCAGGCTAAAATATGTGTGTTTCGGGTTCCTAGACCAGCCCTTCTTTTGAGCTATGCCCCTAAAGGTTTTATGTTGCTTCTTCCCCATAATCTTTATATCAGTTGTTGCAACACCTAACTTATTCAATCATAATCCTTGACAGAGTTGACCAAACTGTACATGTGTAATCAATATTGTCACAAGTTTATTAAATTACAAATAGTGAATTTCCTACTGAGGGATAAATGTACATATATTACCAGAACTGTACTCTTATAAAGAGACGATATTTTCCAGCTTATGTAAACAAAAAATAAGAAAATACAGACCCTATTTTCTTTGACAAAAAACATTACAGACATGATCTCATACAAAATTATGAGGGTAAAAGTACTGGTAAGATGCATGAAAGTTCAGGAGTTTGCCAGGTTATGACGATTTTTGTCGAGCCTGCGACTTTTGTCGCAGAAAGCTCGACATAGGGATAGCGATCCGGCGGCGGCTACGGCGGCGGCGGCGGCGGCGGCGGCGTTAGCTAACTTCTTAAAAGCTTTATATTTTAGAAGATGGAAGACCTGGATGCTTCATACTTTGTATATGGATGCCTCATGTTATGAAGTTTCCGTCAGTCACATGTCCAATGTCCTTGACCTCATTTTCATGGTTCAGTGACTACTTGAAAAAAAAGTTCAGATTTTTTGTAATGTTAAATTCTCTCTTATTATAAGTAATAGGATAACTATATTTGGTATGTGCGTACCTTGCAAGGTCCTCATGCCCGTCAGACAGTTTTCAATTGACCTCGACCTCATTTCATGGATCAGTGAACAAGGTTAAGTTTTCGTGGTCAAGTCCATATCTCAGATACTATAAGCAATAGGTCTAGTATATTCGGTGTATGGAAGGACTGTAAGGTGTACATGTCCAACTGGCAGGTGTCATCTGACCTTGACCTCATTTTCATGGTTCAGTGGTTATAGTTAAGTTTTTGTGTTTTGGTCTGTTTTTCTTATACTGTATGCAATAGGTCTACTATATTTGGTGTATGGAATGATTGTAAGGTGTACATGTCTAGCTGGCAGGTGTCATCTGACCTTGACCTCATTTTCATGGTTCAGTGGTCAAAGTTAAGTTTTTGAATTTTGGTCTTTCTTTCTAATACTGCATGCAATAGGTCAGCTATATTTGGTGTATGGAATGATTGTAAGGTGTACATGTCTAGCTGGCAGGTGTCATCTTACCTTGACCTCATTTTCATGGTTCAGTGGTCAAAGTTAAGTTTTTGAGTTTTGGTCTTTTTTTCTAATACTATATGCAATAGTTCAACTATATTTGGTGTATGGAAATATTTTATGATCTATATGTCAGTCACGCAGGTTTTATTTGACCTTGACCTCATTTTCAAGGTTCATTGCTCAGTGTTAAGTTTTTGTGTTTTCGTCTGTTTTTCTTAAACTATAAGCAATAGGTCAACTATATTTGTTGTATGGAAGAATTGTTAGCTGTACATGCCTGCCTAGCATGGTTCATCTGACCTTGACCTCATTTTCATGGTTCATTGGTCAATGTTTAGTTTACTTGGTTAATGTTAAGTTTATGTGACAGTTGTAATAAAGCTTTATATTAAGGACTATCAACATAATATCAATGATTAGTAAAGAAGGCGAGACATTTCAGCGTGTGCACTCTTGTTTCCCTATAGATGTATTCCTCCAAAATATTGATTTTTTCCTGACTTACGGATTTTTCCATCTTCCATACTTTCACAGATGTAGTTTACATCACATCAACATGAACTGTCTTAACACTTTACAAATACATTATAACATGTGAGTGGCATCAGCACAACATTGGTTATACACTGCATATTGAATACCTGTGCTGTAAAGGTGCGTTTACGTGGTACGATTTTCCATCCAATTTTCAATCCGATTTGATACAGTTGTCCAGGTAAATCTTGCAGGGCTCTGTTCACACAATACAACTACTATTTGATTAACAAAATGACATCCAATTTTAGTGTTCACACGATGTGATTTTAGTCGAAAGTAGGTGCACAGATAAAAATCAAATGAAAATCGAACGGAAAATCAAAATTCTAAACGCACCTTAACTGTGTGGAATGTAAAGCAATGTTGAAAGCTGAAAACTGAAGCATTTGAACAAGACACTGTTACATGAATTATTATGACTATGTATTTGATTTCTAATAATTTTATTATGCAATTATACCATTTTCAGGGCCTTTATTTCCTTCAATGAAAAGAACAGAAGCATTGGTGTTTCAGCCAAGAATCAATGTATTACAAATCTGAAAAATACAGTATCTGTTTTCAAGAGATTTATTGGTAGAAAGTTCACAGACCCATTTGTACAGAAAGAGCTCGTTGATTTTCCCAAACCTTATAAGGTAGAACAGGGAAAGAATGGAGAAATTTTAATCAAGGTACATTGTAATTTAGATACACATTTAGATTAATGGTTTACATCACCAGACAACATTTAGTCTAAAAACATGAAAAAAAAAAAAATTCTTGCATATTTTTAAGTTTGTTTTTCAACAACAAAATATTGTTGTTATTTTTTCAAAACCCATCATTTACTTTAGAAGGTCAATTGAGCTTTTGCAATCAGACTTTAATATGTTTACCCTGTTTTCATTAAAACCACCTTGTTGGTCTCATGGTAGCGTCCCTGCTCCCCCTGAGAGTGGGAGGTCCTGGGTTCAATCCCTAACCTGGGATTTCAAACCAAAGACTTTAAAATTGGTAAATTCTGCTTCTCTGCTAAGCACACAGCATTTAGGAGCAAGAGCAAAGACTTGTTAGCTTGGAGTTAGAATCATGATTGCTAGTAGGGTGACATGTCTAGTGAACTAGCATGTAAATATAAATCTGACTCACTGTAGTCTAGTACAAAGCAGGTTTAAATATGGGTTTGCTCGTTGTTGAAGACCGTAAGGTGAACTATATTGTTAACTTCTTCATCATTTGGTCTCTGGTGGAGAGTTGTCTCATTGGCAATCATACCACATCTTCTTATTTTCATATTAAAATTCATATCACTTTATCATGTTCTCATTCTGAATATGCATTTAATTTTCCTCTGGACCTTTAAACTACCATTGATCCTGTCTTCATTAAAGTAAGGGAGATAACCATATATGTATTATGATATACAGTGAAAGAGTATAGAGAAGTTCTATGTCAATGGGTTAGCTTAGAGTTTGAAAGGCCATATTTTTTTACAATCAGTCCTCTAGTGTATCTGGATTAGTTTTTCAGAAACACCCGGCCATTGACAATTTTTCATTCTTCATTTTGTCACATAGTGGCATTGTCTATATATTTTTATCTCCCTTTTATGATAGGAGGGGGCATTACGTTTTCTGAACTGTCCGTCCTGTATCCCATTTTTTGTAGGGACTTTTACCATAAAGGTGTAGTAAAAAAAACCTTAAACGAAGTTCACATGTTCATTATGTTGTGAAGTTTATACTACATGTATATGCCAAATAACGGTTTTAACCCCGTTTCACAATTCTCTTAAGATAGAAATGATATTTATTTGAAAAATTATGATTTTGACCCTGATTTCGTAGGTCACTCATTTCATGGATTATGCATATAGGATAGTGCGAGTTGGTCATGGTGTCCTATGGACACAAATTCTTTATAACGATTATTTTTGTTAAACCTTATAATGATATACCTGCTCTTCGTTTAGGTTCAGTATCTTGAAGGTGAGCAGCAGTTTACTCCAGAGCAGATGATGGCAGCTCTTTTGACGAAGTTAAAGCAGATATCAGAAGCTGGACTGAAGACTAAAGTGGTAGATGTTGTGGTATCTGTAAGTATTAGTCTATTAGATACACCCATAAGGTCAGTAGCCCAATTGGATGTATCTACTTTACACCAAGATATAATGGTCAATGCAAAATAATAGATTTAATTACTGTAGGAGGGGGGTCTTTTGGCAGTTTGACCTTATGATATGAAAAAGCATCATAAATGCAGGATATTCAATTACGCTTAATCACATCTTGGTTTAACTGAACTTATTGATAAGAAATGATAGGATATAGGGTATATATGAAGGAAAAAATTATGTCTTTAGAAGATCATCAGTAATGACTTTAAAGAAGTCGAGACGATCCCATTATTCTATAGAAATTTACATAAAACATGTATTAATGCTAGTACACAAAATATCTGAATTGAATTACAAACAATTATAAAGGCCTATTTAAACACTTTTTTCCATAACTTTTGCTCCATCATATCAGCAATTTCAAAAGAGAGGCGAAAGATACCAAAGAGACATTCAAACTTATAATCAGATAACAAACTGACAAAGCCATGGCAAAAAATGAAAAACGACCAAAAGACATACAACAGTGTGCAAAACTTCAATTCAAATTAGTAAGGTAAGGACCTCATAAACTTATCACAAATAATGATATTTGAAATGAACTTAAAACAAAAAGTTTTGTCCTATTGCATGACATACATTATACTTTAATTTTTAATTTTAGGTACCCACATTTTTCACAGATATAGAAAGAAGAGCTATGTTAAATTCATGTGAGGTAGCTGGACTGAACTGCATGAAGGTCATGAATGATTCAACAGCAGGTTAGTGTTTGTATCTCTACCTCTATCAGGTAGCTGGACTGAACTGCATGAAGGTCATGAATGATTCAACAGCAGGTTAGTGTTTGTATCTCTACCTCTATCAGGTAGCTGGACTGAACTGCATGAAGGTCATGAATGATTCAACAGCAGGTTAGTGTTTGTATCTCTACCTCTATCAGGTAGCTGGACTGAACTGCATGAAGGTCATGAATGATTCAACAGCAGGTTAGTGTTTGTATCTCTACCTCTATCAGGTAGCTGGACTGAACTGCATGAAGGTCATGAATGATTCAACAGCAGGTTAGTGTTTGTATCTCTACCTCTATCAGGTAGCTGGACTGAACTGCATGAAGGTCATGAATGATTAACAACAGGTTAGTGTTTGTATCTCTACCTCTATCAGGTAGCTGGACTGAACTGCATGAATGATTCAACAGCAGGTTAGTGTTTGTATCTCTACCTCTAGATCTATCAGGTAGCTGGACTGAACTGCATGAATGATTCAACAGCAGGTTAGAGTTTTTATCTCTATTTTCAAGCAAATTTTCTGTTGTCTTTTTATGTATTGAAAAAAAAAGATTTTCATTTGTGAAGATTTGCATCTACTTCACATGTAATTGAAAAGGGTATGTAGGAATGATTCACCATAACACACCAAATCAGGCTCATTTTCAACACAGTTGATTTATGATATGAAGAGGGTCGTTACTATACCAATGATATTAAAAAATAATTTGACATCCAAAAAAAGAGACTGCTATCGCAAAAAACTAGAATAAGTTCAAAAGAAAAGGTAGACTCATCACTGTTTTTTTTTTCTTTGTCTGATTTTGAAAGAATAGTGCTAATGCAAATGATGTAAACATCAAAATTGCAGGATTGTAAAAGGTATTCACTGTTTAATTCATATTTTTTATGTCTTTTTATAAAAAGCAAACTTGCAAACAACAGTCAAATAGAAATAATCAATATTTGTACGACTACCTAATGTATGACTTTTTAAATTACAGCTGCTTTGGGTTATGGTATTTACAAACAAGATCTCCCACCTGAGACAGAGAAAGCCAAGAATGTGGTATTTGTTGATATTGGTTACTGTTCCTTACAGGTGGCCATTGTGGCATTTCATAAGACAAAGCTAAAGGTATGACTTACAGGTGGCCATTGTGGCATTTCATAAGACAAAGCTAAAGGTATGACTTACAGGTGGCCATTGTGGCATTTCATAAGACAAAGCTAAAGGTATGACTTACAGGTGGCCATTGTGGCATTTCACAAGACAAAGCTAAAGGTATGACTTACAGGTGGCCATTGTGGCATTTCATAAGACAAAGCTAAAGGTATGACATTAAAATTAGTATTATAAAAAGATATAGGAAAAATTAGCCAAGTTCTGAGAAGTAGTCATTAAAGTACAAAGTGGAACAATCAGTGGTGTGTTTCAAGTAAAGTCATACCTGTATTATGCAGTCACTCATGGGAAGTATCAAAAGTAACCACTCAAGAGAGGTGACCTTATAAATGAGGTTTCAAAAACAATTTGATTCCAACATCGCCTGTGGCTGGGATGCAGCAAATTGTTTTAATATTTTCAATTGGTAGAGTTATCGTTTGTTCAAGCAGACAAATAAAAAATGGTGGATTCTGACGTTGTAAATTTGAAGAAAACATTCAAAAATAGTAATATTTGTGGAGAAAGAAGTAGGTTATATGGTTTTCTATGGAAATTGAAAGGAATGGAACATGAGAAATACACAAATTCACTTCCTATTGCGCGATCTCGGTTGCAAATGGGTTCCGATTATTGTCCCCCTCGTAACGCGTTGTGGGGGACATGGAAATACCGGGCATCCGTCTGTCCAGTCTTGTTAGCGCTCTCACAGGTATAATTCTTGTCAGATTTTTATAAAACTTATACTATAGGTTGATATCAGCAATATCTCGGACAAGTTTTATAATGGTGGCCGATCAACTTTTTTAAAAAGAGTTATGCCCCTTGGAAATATTAAATTTATGAAAAATGGCCTCGTTAACACTCTCAAGGGTACAATTTTTAAAAAAACTTACAGTAAACTATAAGTAATGCCCTTGGAGGTCTGTTTGAAATATTTAGTATACAATAAAAAAAACTTTTTTGTCCCCCGCACACACTTTTTATTCATAAATTGTTTTAAAGAAGAACAACCAATAAAAGTTTTTTTTTTTTAGTTAATGCCACTGGATAGATAAAATATGTGCAACATGGGGAACATTGGAACTCTGTTCTTTTATCATTTTGATTTTGATACTGTACACATATTTTTCGTCATGATTATATTTTGGTTGTTAAAAACATGAAAATGACATTTCATGCAAAAATTAGGTGACTACTGACCACGTTAGAGAGGTGACCGTTGAAAAGAGTTAAATTATATAGAGAAAATGTTTGGGAGGGTTTGAAAGTGAACGTTGAAGGCATGTGACTGCTGAAACGAGGTGACTGTTAAGGCAGGTTTGACTGTAGTTGGCATGGGAAGATCTCCTTTAGGTGAAAGGCACTGGCACCATAACTGACAATGTGACGGTTTAACAAACCAGGATGTAACTACAATATTTGCGACATAACTTCAGTAAAACACTTCAGTAAACTTGTGATTTCTATGACAAACTTAAAAAATCACCATAAGCATATAATGGATGTGCTTTATACACCAATGAAACAGCAACCCATTGACATAAACAACAAAAACATCTAGAGGTCATTTATGGGCTTCCAACAATAAACAAGCACTTATTCATTTTGCTCAACTCGAAATTGCTTCCTGATTGCCCATTTCATACCCACTGAGCATGGAATTTTTCCTCAATGCAACAAGTTAGCATATACCAAGCATGAATTTGTATCCAATACACGTGTTTGTTTTTGGCACAAATTTTGTACTCTGAGAACCAAGTTAACTTATACAAATGTTTGATGACCGAGAGCCCTGGCCCTAATATTTTTAATCACTCTGATAAAGGGACATGAAAAGAAAAAGCTGATGATTTTGACTGAATTTGTATATTTGATGACATGATTTTTGTATTTCATTTCTATAGGTTTTGGCAACAAATTTTGACCCCTGTCTAGGAGGAAGAAACTTTGACAAAATTTTAGCAGACTATTTTCAACAGGACTTTAAAGAACGTTATAAAGTTGATGCAGGAAAGAATATGAAAGCTAGATTGAGATTAGAAACTGAGTGTGAAAGACTGAAAAAATTAATGAGTGCAAACACACAATCCATTCCAATTAATATAGAATGTTTTATGGAGGACAAGGATGTGACAGGTAGAATGGACAGGTAGGTCACTATGTACAGTTAGAGTGAAAATTTAGGTCACCTATGTCAGGTTAATTAGAATAGGGGCCTTAAGTTGGGATAAATTATTCTTTTGAGAAAAAGTGCACCATAGAACACATTTTATTGATAGATCTTTGAATGACCTCAAATTTCAAAATACATAAATTCTTTGACAGTTTGTGGATGAAAGTGGAAAAATGCTGTAATTTTTATACGACCGCAAAAAACATTTTGTGGTCGTATATTGGTATGACGTTGGCGTCGTCGTCGTCGTCAGTAATCGTCGTCCGAAGACGCATTAGTTTTCGCACTCTAACTTTAGTTTAAGTGAATGGATCTCTATGAAATTTTACCATTAGGTTCAATACCACAAAAGGAAGGTGGGGATTGATTTTGGGGGTTATGGTACCAACAGTTAAGGAATTAGGGGCCAAAAAGGGGCCAAAAATAAGCATTTTCTAGTTTCCAGACAATAACTGTGGAACGGTGTATGGATCTCTCTGAAATTATACTACAAGTTTCCATACCACAAAGGGATGGTTAGGATTTGCTTTGGGGGGTTATTGCTCAAACCATTTAAGAATTAGGGGCAAAAAAGGGGGAAAAACAAGGTTGTCCTCATTAATGGACAAATACTTTAGTACAAAACATAATTTAAAGCAGTGTAAGGGAGATAAATCAAATACATCATTGAAATTATCTCCCTTACACTGCTTTTAAATTATGTATAAAGTAATGGTTAATGAACAATTAAGATAATTTAAAACAGTGTAAGGGAGGTAATCCAAATACAACGTTTTGGTTACTTCCCTTACACTGCTTTTAAATTATGTTTAAAGAAATGCATATTTATAAAGGAAGACCAGTATGGCGCATTAGATTTGTAAAATCTTTGACCACATTTATTTATTTGTTATGCTGAATCTAACCATGTATTTAGATTTTTTATTTGTGGACCCCGCTATCAAATTGGTTCATATTGAGGTCAAAAGGGTCCAAAATTAAACTTTGTTTGATTTCATCAAAAATTGAATTATTGGGGTTCTTTGATATGCCAAACCTAACCGTGTATTTAGATTTTTAATTTTGGGTCCTGTTTTTTAAATTGGTCTACATTAAGGTCCAAAGGGTCCAAAATTAAACTTAGTTTGATCGTAACAAAAATTGAATTCTTGGGGTTCTTTGATATGCTGAATCTAAACATGTGTTTAGATTTTTGATTATGGGCCCAGTTTTCAAGTTTGTCCAAGTTGGGGTCCAAAATTAAACTTTGTTTGATTTCAACAAAAATTGAATATATGGGGTTCTTTGATATGCTGGATCTAAACATGTATTTAGATTTTAGATTTTTGGCCCAGTTTTCAAGTTGGTCCAAATTGGGGTCCAAAATTAAACTTTGTTTGATTTCAACAAAATTTGAATATATGGGGTTCTTTGATATGCTGAATCTTACCATGTATTTAGATTTTTTATTTGTTGACCCCGCTATCAAATTGGTTCATATTGAGGTCAAAAGGGTCCAAAATTAAACTTTGTTTGATTTCATCAAAAATTTAATTATTGGGGTTCTTTGATATGCCAAATCTAACCGTGTTTTTAGATTTTTAATTTTGGGTCCCGTTTTTTAAATTGGTCTACATTAAGGTCCAAAGGGTCCAAAATTAAACTTAGTTTGATTTTAACAAAAATTGAATTCTTGGGGTACTTTGATATGCTGAATCTAAACATGTGTTTAGATTTTTGATTATGGGCCCAGTTTTCAAGTTTGTCTAAAATTAAACTTTGTTTGATTTCAACAAAAAATTGAATATATGGGGTTCTTTGATATGCTGAATCTAACCATGTATTTTGATTTTGGACATTGGACCATAATAGGTAAATTAAAAAAATTGAAGTTCTTAGACCACATTCTTTCTGTGTCAGAAACCTATGCTGTGTCAAATATTTAATCACAATCCAAATTCAGAGCTGTATCAAGCTTGAATGTTGTGTCCATACTTGCCCCAACTGTTCAGGGTTCGACCTCTGCGGTCGTATCAAGCTGCGCCCAGCGAAGCATTTTATTTTTTATATTATTTGCTCCTTGAAAACTAATTTTCTATTAAAGAACCAATGCAATAACTCTCTAAAAAAACAAGAAATAATATAGCGTTGACTTAGAAAAACAGTACATATTGTATTAGTATATTTATATTATAGGATTGAGTGAGTGATCTGTACCATTTTCAATTTTAATGTGAATTTTCAGTATTTAATTTTCATTTTAGAACTCAGTTTGAAGAATTATCAGCTGGTATATTAAAAAGAATAGAAACAGTTTTTCAGACATTACTTGAAAATAGTAGTAAGTAGGGCTCATGCTTAAATAGAAATAAGAAGATGTGGTATGAGTGCCAATGAGACAACTCTCCATCCAAGTCAAAATGTGTAAAAAGTAAACAATTATAGGTCAAAGTACGGCCTTCAGCACGAAGCCTTGTCTCACACCGAAGAACTGTTCAATGTAAAAATATATTATACAAGTATTTCTAAAATAAAATGAATTTCAAATATTTTTTTTTCATTTTCTTGTCTTCATAATATTCACAGTGAGATTCCAAAAAAGCAATTATATTCAAGACTACCAGCAATTTACCAATAAATTATCTCCCTTGGCAACCTTTTTTTGTGAAAAACTCAAAAAGTGTAAAAGATTTTATCCCAATTTTATTTAATAAAACAACTCAAATTTTGATAATAAGATAGTCATGAACTGCCTAAAACTTTTTGGCAGTCTCTTAAATTTTGATTTGACACTATTTTTATCCATATTAATGTTATTCACAGTTTAGAAAATAACAAAGGGTTTGTTCCAGATTTAAACACATGGGGTATAAATTGTTGGTTGCATTTTCTTTAGAATTTTGTAAATATTATAAGTAAAATTCTATATAATGGGTGGTTGGGGTCTAAAAATTTATTTATTTTCCAGGATCCAGGAAAAGTTTTATTTTCATTTATATTTGATTTCCTGGTTTTTTCCAAAGTCTGCATACAAACCTTTAGAAAATTTATACTTAATTGAACATTTAAATTCAGTGGTTTACTTGTACCCACGAAATCCATGAAAATTAGTGTCCCACAATTAATAATGAATCCACAGTAAGCATTTCCCCCACGAACGTTTGACTAAACCATTATAAGAGGAGTCTTGCATTCTAAATTTTAGAAAGTTGATAAATATTACAATAAGTTGTGTCTTGAAAGATTGAAAACAACACTATCTTAATAGTTTTTCAATCATATTCTTAAAAGAAAACCAAATATGAAAAAATGATTTTTTTTTGCTGGTAAAAGTAGTTGCCATAAGAGGAATTATTTTGTCTATTTGCAGAGATGTCAACATCTGATTTGGTTGCAGTAGAAATAGTAGGAGGATCATCAAGAGTTCCATCAATTAAAAGTCTAGTACAGAAAGTTTTTGGCATTGAGCCAAGTACGACACTGAATGCTGATGAAGCTGTGGCCCGTGGATGTTCTTTACAGAATGCCATATTAAATCCCACATTCAGAGTTCGAGATTTCTCAATCAATGATGCACAGCCTTACTCTATTACACTTAGCTGGCAGGCAACAATGGAAGAAGACAGGTAAGGGGGGGTTCATAAAAAATTTTCCTAGTTGTCATTCTGGCAAGAAGATGTCAAGAATGCTGTGTACTCGTTTATTTTTGTTGGTATCAATTTTCGTGGTTCAAATTTGCTGTTTTGAGGGTACCTAGTTTCTATTTGAATTTTAATGAATATAATGAATCCACAGTATATATTATTAAATCCTGTTTATTTTGGTTTTGTCTAGTCTTTGCTACAGATGGATGCAATTTTTCTTGTCTATATTTTACTTTTATGGTTGACATTTTTTTCTCTAAGGGCTATTCCAGAAAAAAATGTATGGGGTGTTGGAAGGCAGTTTGTTTTCAGCACCCGCCACCCAGACAATTGTAATAGAGAACCATAGTGCATTATAGTGTGAAAAGTTTCTCTGATACCCATCACCCAATTATTATTAATATAAAGTGCCAACCCCCCCCCCCATACATTTTTTTCTGGAATAGCCCTAACAAGTTTCCTTGTTTTCCTATTAAGTTTTAGGGTTATATTTAAAGATGTTAATTGCAGGCAGAGTTTTACAGAAACAAATAAAAATTGCATAGAGCAAATTGCACAAGACAATCCTTTGTTTAGACTACTCTCCGATATAAATTTCATCCTTTTAAATTGGATACTCCAGAGACAGCTTAACATCTTGAGACTATTCCGTTTAAATATATGTGGTACCTAGGGAAGGCACTTTAAAAAAAGGATAACCACCTTTAAAGGCAAATAAAGAATGTCTCTAAAACTTTCACTGTACATAAACACCCACCAATAGATGAGATTTCCAAGTGCATACCGTGTGTCCAAAGTATGTTTTTATGGAACAGCCCTTACATAAAACAGATGAATTGAAACTCATTTAATCTATTTAATATTAAAGGAAGTGTTAGACTTGTGACATTTAACCTTGTGAATTTCATTTCAGTTCAATGGAGTTGTTTCCAAAGTACCATATGATTCCTATGTCCAAAGTACTGACATTCTACAGAACTGAGCCATTTCAACTGGAGGCTAAATATACACACAAAAATGATGTTCCCATACCAGATACAAATATAGGTAACGTAAAATATCTATTAATCGTGGTACAAAGGATAACAGTCCCAAGTTAAAGTTGTATGACCTTTTATGTCAAAGGCATTAAATCTTATATTTCCTCGTTAGGGCCCTTAATTTGTTTCCTGTAAGTGGTATTTTCTTGAAGTCATATAAAACCAGTTTCTTGTCATTTTTATGTTATCGAAATTATTGAACCAATGCATGCATATATACTAAGTCCTGTATGCATGTTATGCATATTTATTATGAATATATAAAGTATTGTGGACAAATAAAATTTCTTTCAGTGATTGTTAATCATAAGCTAATTAACTCTTGAATGTTGCAGAAATTTACCGGATAATGACATTGATATACAATCAACACAAAGCTCATGGAGCATGCAACAAATGTGTGAATTGATAGTCATGATATTTTTTTTTTATTTTCCATTCATTCCCATTTGTTAATTAAACTTTTCCTTAACAGTTGTTAAATGATTTGTTGTACTAAATTTGTTCTTTAAGAATCAGTTCTTACTAAATCCATTTGATTTAATAATGGGTGAGGCAGGAAACAGACATTTAAAAATTCCAGCTACCTTGTAAATTTAAAGAAAGAATGTAACATTTAATATTCAGTCACATCAGTGCATGTTGTTATGTTTTGAGCTCTTACATTGATTTTAGTAATAAACAAGAGGATACTTATTAAACTAATAAATATGCAATATAAAGATATTAGTATACATTATTTTCTTATTTAGGTAAATTCCAAGTTAGTAAGATAGAAAAACCCAAAAATGAAGACAGTGCCAAAGTGAAAGTGAAAGTAAGAGTTAATCAAAATGGCATCTTCACAGTAAATTCTGCTACCCTGTCAGAGACAATAGAACAAGAGGAACAGGACACTAAAGCTGAGGAACAGTCCATGGATGTTGATGCTGAGAAAAAAACCGAGGAGGAAGGAAAAACTGCAGAGGGAGATCAAAAACCTGAGGTCAATGGAGAAACTGAGGTAATAAAAATGTAGGCTTTAATGTCTACATAGAAAACTAATGAAACTAAGGTATAAAGAGAAAAAAGGGTAAAAATTTACAGTTTTCCAAGCTATCAGATCAAATTTTTTTTTTTTTTCGGGGGATCTTAAATTATGCATGGCGCAAAATCCTTATACACAGGTTCAGTATTAAAGGAACAGTACTTTTATTGCTATATTTCATAACCCTAAGATTGTTAGTGGTAGTTAGCTTATTGCCTTCATCGAACATTAGATAAACCTTTACTGTTCAAACCTTCACCGAACATTAGAAAAACCTAAGTGTGTAGGAAAACTGGCTCAAATCTGTAATAAATTACTTTCCATGCTTATAAAATTTAGCTTCTCAGAATTTGTATAGTTTACTTAATATAAAAATAGCATTGGAAAATATAGCATTATTGAAAGCTATAGATGTGAAAATTCTTCTGAAACTTAATTCATAACAGATTTAGAGCCAATTACCAAGAATATACGTCCGAATGCATTTAAAAAAAACAAAGGAATTTTTTTGTAACAGCATTCATGTGCATCCACCCAGCAACTCCTCTTTTCCTATCATAAAGCAGTTTAATGCAATATTTAAGAAATAATTCTTTCATGCCATGATCTATGCTCATTTTAACATGGGTAGGCATTATATTTGTCAATATCTTTTTACCAAACGTTAGCGAGGTGTAAAATGTTAACAAATATAATGCCTACCCATGTTAAAATGAGCACAGAGCATGGCATGAAAGAAATATTTCGATTCTAATAGGAAAATTTAAAACTTTTTTACTTCGAAGTGAGCCTATAATACACGTTCGAAACTCAGCCATTTTGATTTTATGAAGCCATAACAATAAACATATATAGAAAATCAACCGTTTCAAGATAAAGAATGAACAGATACATGTCCACTTACTTTTAGAATGATTTTATTTAATTTCCTAGTGAGCAACACCAACAAAAATGTCCATTTTGTTCTCCGACGTTGTTCAAAATACAACTGACGTTGCAATTTCAGTTGACACGTCAATCATGTGCAGGCCATGTTCTATTGCAATTAGAACATGGCTTTGTTTCCAAAGCTAGAGAAGAATGTCATATAATTAGAATGGGAATTAATTACATTCCAAAGAAACTGTTTCATGTCATAGCAATCAGCTATAAATTGGAGAGTTCTTAATTTAAAATTATTTTAACTCATATGACATTTGAAACTTTCTTTGCACTTTGAACTTTTAAGAAATTAAAAAATAATGGTATTTTTCTAGAGTAGAATCTATTTCACAAGTGTAAATATTTTTTTTCAATAGCAGATGCAAACAGACCAACCAGAAGCACCTGAGAAAACTGATAATGATGAAAAGAAGGAGGAAAATTTTGCCGGTGATAAAAAGTCAGAGAAAAAGGTATTCTATATAAAATTAATTCCAGATCATACATAAATCTTAATGTGTTATATAAGAATATAAAATCTTTCCCTTATTAGTTACCTAGCCATATGCCATATCTAACAATAACAAGGACACAGACCTTTAATGTTTTCTGCTTTTTTAGCTCCATTATTTATATACTATCAATTTATAACAGTCTTAAAAATCTTATTTTGAATCAGAGCAGGGAACATCCTAAAGGGGCATTAGCTATGGAAAGACAAAAAATTGAAGTATGATTTTTTTGGTTTCAAACATGAAAGTGGAAAATATATAAATAATATTTCGCTATTGGCAGTCACTTTGGTTAATTGTTCAAAATAAGCTAAAAAAAACATCGCCTTTGTACTATTGGTTTTCAGGTCAATACTTCAACCTCATTATACGACCGCAAAAAAATTTTTGTGGTCGTATATTGGTATGACGTTGGCGTCGTCGTCGTCCGAAGACACATTGGTTTTCGCACTCTAACTTTAGTTTAAGTGAATGTATCTCTATGAAATTTTACCACAAGGTTCAATACCACAAAAGGAAGGTTGGGATTGTTTTTGGGGGTTATGGTACCAACAGTTAAGGAATTAGGGGTCAAAAAGGGGCCAAAAATAATTTTTTTTGTAACTTCCAGACATAACTTGTGTGTTAGTGTATGGATCTCTCTGACATTGTACCACAAGGTTCCATATCACAAAGGAAAAGCTGGGATTGATTTTGGGGGTAATTGCCCTAAATTTTTAGATATTTGGGGCCAAAAAGGGGCCTTAAACAAGCATTTTTCTAGTTTCCAGACAATAACTTGTGTTCAAGTGTATGGATCTCTCTGAAATTGTACTGCATGGTACCATACCACAAAAGGAAAGTAGGAATTGAGTTTGGGGGTAATTGCCCAAAACGTTTAGGAATGAGGGGCCAAAAATAAGCATTTTTCTAGTTTCCAGACAATAACTTGTGTTCAAGTGTATGGATCTCTCTGAAATTGTACTGCAAAGGAAAGGCTGGGATTGATTTTGGGGGTAATTGCCTCAAAATTTTAGGAATTAGGGGCCAAAAAGGGGTAAAAAACAAGCATTTATCTAGTTTCAGGACAATAACTTGTGTGTAAGTGTATGGATCTTGATGAAATTGTACTACAAGGTTCCATATCACAAAGGAAAAGCTGGGTTTGAGTTTGGGGGTAATTGCCCTAAACATTTAGGAATTTGGGGCCAAAAAGGGGCCTAAAAACAAGCATTTTTCTAGTTTCCAGACAATAACTTGTGTTCAATTGTATGGATCTCTCTGAAATTGAACTGCATGGTACCATACCACAAAGGGAAGGCTGGGATTGAGTTTGGGGGTGATGAACCATAAGGGGGTTCAAAAAATATTTGGGAGGGATATTTTTTTACCTTTTTTTTTCTTTAAAATTTTCCATTTTAAATTGGTTTTTTCTGATTTATATATAAAAGCAAATAATAATGATATGATTTGAATAGGTAAATTAAAATTTTTTAAGTTCTTGGACCACATTCATTCTGTGTCAGAAACCTATGCTGTGTCAAATATTTAATCACAATCCAAATTCAGTGCTGTATCAAGCTTGAATGTTGTGTTCATACTTGCCCCAACTGTTCAGGGTTCGACCTCTGCGGTCGTATCAAGCTGCGCCCAGTGGAGCATTTTATTTTAATTTGTATTCATGCAAACCTTAATTTGACCTTTAGTGAAGATGGGTTGTGCATTGGTTCAGTATGTGGTTCATTCATTTAAAAGAAAACAATGTCAACATTGAAAGTGAAACTAGGGGACACAAGGAATAACCAGTTTATTGACTGATCTTGCCCATAAAAAATCATTTTATACAGGGTCTCTTGTGAAGAGATGTCTTGTTGGCAATCATACCACATCATCTTATTTTTATATATTGATAATTTTTATATATTGATGATTTACATATATTTTTATTTTAATCTATAATTGAAATCAAAGAGACCTCGAAAAATCATCATTATAGGATTGCACGTCTGTCTGTTTATATTTATATCGGTTATATGACTGTCAGCTGTTTTTGGAAATCATCTCGATGGATAATGAGATGGCGTCTAGTAGAAAATATGCAAAAAATGCTGATTCATTATTATCGTAGAGTGGTTATATCGAGTCCATGCATCATTAATCGTTTATTTTGGACTCATTGTTATTTGAATATACGTTTTAGTATGTTATAAATCAAATATAAGAATTTGGGTCAAATTGGTGAACATGAATTTGACAGCTAATGCCCCTTTTAAGACTAGTTAACAAGCTATATATCCGACATATATATACTGTTCCAGATAAATTATCAAATCCTTTATTGAATTTTTGTTGCAAGTAGACTAGACATATCTCAGTGATTTTATAAAAAAACTACAAGGTACTATCTGTATTTCATTATATTGTGTGAAAGTTATTTATTTCTCTGATAAACACTAAAAACATACTTTTCTTACAGTCTGAAGAGAAGAAGAAAAAGAAAGTCAAGAAAATAGATCTACCCATTGAAGCCTGTGTTCCTGAAATGTCCAAAAAGGAGATCAATGAACTAGTCGAAAAAGAGGTAAAACTAGACAGTTTATACATGACCACTATCAGAAAGATATTAGATATGAAGAGATTAATAAACTAAATTGAACAAAAATCACTTCTTCCAAGTCTGCTTAAAATTTTATAATTTTCAATGTTTAAAATTTATAATTTTTTCATTGCAGTTGGAAGCATACAAATCCCCTCTTAAATTACACATTTACAAACAAAATCAGCTGCGTCAGATAGAAATGACCATATGCAAAACGTCCGTTAACCTATTTCAGGTTAAAAAGTCTCAATGGAAAGTCTGTAACTGTTTTAAAATTGAGTTGTTATAAAAACCCTACAAAACAGACCAAAATTTGAATAAAATTTCTGTGATAAGTTTCAATTTCCAGAAAATGAAAATTTGGAAGGGGACTTGAAAAAATTATATTCTATAATTATTCTATAGTTTGGTCGACTGGATAGTGTTTGCATTTCCTGCCTGTTCCCTTTTGATTGTAAATGAGAAGATTTATTTTTTTGGAAATGTGCTCTTTTAATCAGACACATTTATATGATAGGTAAAAATTATTTTTTAAAACAGGCTGTTCTTTATTCTCATTTATGTGGGGGACATGAATTAGTTGAACCTTTTCACTAAGCCTCAATTTCATTTTCTCTATAACAGAATCAGATGATTATGCAAGATAAGTTAGAGAAAGAAAGAGCTGATGCTAAGAATGCTGTAGAGGAATACGTGTACGACATGAGAGATAAGCTGTCTGAAGCCTATGAACCTTTTGTTAGGGAAGCAGTAAGTACGGAGTATTTATTGATAAAAATAAGGTCAAGTTAATATGCATCTATCTATGTACAGAATCACTTGTAAGCATTCCAAATTTTGGTAACTTATGATATTGTGAACAAAATCATTTTCGAGTGATTTATTTGCGAGAAAAAAAAAACAATGCATAGTGTATAATTGAAGCTAATTTTTCTTGGAGCTTTTAATATTCAAAGTCAAATGAATTAGAAAGGGTGAAATATGAAAAAAAAAGTATAAGCGAAAGTTGGAAAAATTGGTTTGCAGTATGTATAAATTCTAGAATATCTATAGTTCTGAAAATGTGAGGAAGTTTCTCAGTTACAATCTCATCGCCTTAATCTCATAGCCTAGTCTTTCAACTATCAAAATGACTGTATCATACTGTAAACATCATACACAATGGGGAAGCTTTGTATGCAGGAGTAAAAAACTGTCATCGCAGTACAATATCCCCCCTCCCCCTTTATATTTTATAATAGAGATTACCCAATTCTATTTATCACTGGCTTTGCCACTGATAAAAAGGCATTGATAAAACACTGAATTTACCATGACCATTTATAACATTACAATATGTGTAATAGAATAGAAAGAAAGGATAGGAGGTATCTATCCATGACAATCAATTATTAAAACACACTTTTATTGCTGTTCTTCATCTCAAAGTCACAGTGAGGCCTTCAATACGGAGCAAAATAACTCTCACCTCACTGCATGTTTAAGAGGACCCCTAGCAACTGTTTGAGTGGAAGTCATATTTTTATGAATGACACTAGTGATTACAAGGCTAGAATGATAAAGGAGAAATTTAACAATTCCCCATGCTCAAATTGGGGAAAAGGTGCTCGTTTATTAGAATCATACATTATAAAACATTTAACCAGTCAAAGACTGTCTCGAAATTAATTCTTAATTTTATGTCAAAATTGTATAACTATCAAAGAAGGTATAAGTATTTATTTTGCCTTCCATTTTAGGACAGAGAAAAGTTTAGTAAGTTATTATCGGAAACTGAAGACTGGCTATATGAAGAAGGAGACGACCAGAAAAAACAAGTTTACCTTGACAAACTTACACAGTTAAAGGTATTATAATTTTTTTTAATTTTTCATATTTTATTGAAATCTGTACATTTGTTAGAAAACATCAAGTACCAGTACCTAATCCTGGCCTCAATTACATTAGTAAATAACATATATATATATATATATATATATAGCTGTTAGTATTTGTTAGTAATATATAAACAATATTACATACTTGAATTTTTATTCCCTCCGCTGTAGAGGAGGGGGCATTTAGTGTAACCCTTGTCCGTCCAGTCCGTCTGTCCGTCCGTTCATCCCCAAAATTGGTTTCTGTTTTTTGCCTCAACCAAATGTTATGAAACTTATACACAATGCTTATTACCACAAAACACAGATCAAGTTGAAATGGGGTGGCGTCACTTTTACTGTTCTTGAGTTGAGCCCTTTATAAATGGAAAAATTGCTAAATCTGTCTTTTCCGTTCTCTAACTTTAGTTTGCCTCAACCAAATGTTATATTTATTTTATGTAAAATGTTAGAAATATAAATTTAGAAAAATAATATTCACCCTGCTAAATGTCACATGCTCTAACATGTAACATTATGGTAAAATTTTTGATGTACCTGAAGAAAAAGGATATTTACCGTGCTGGACGTCAGGTGCTTTCACATGTAACATTATGGTATAATTGTTACTGTACCTGAAGAAAAAGGATATTTACCGTGCTGGAAGTCAGGTTCTTTCACATGTAACGTTACTGTAAAAATGTTTGATGTACAATTTGTTTAGATAAATAATTGTCATTAAATACTTTGTTTCCTCTAGGAATATGGAATAAAACAAGTACTGTCTTTTGTTTTGGTAAATGTGAGGTTTATTTGACTTTTGAAAAACTGATATTCACTTCAGCCTTTGGCCTCAGTGAATATCAGTTTTTCAAAAGTCTATGAAACGACATATTTACCTCATCAAAAAACAGTACTTGCATGATATTGCCTGGTGTTAGATACATAATAGGAAACATCAAAACAATAATGAGCTGAATAGAACAGTGAAACATTCTAAAGTCAGCTTTGTTCAAGGGAGGTGCAATCCTTCAATATTTGCATAATTTATTAATTGAAAATATAGTCAAGGTATCCTGAGGGTCTTAGATGTTAGGAAAAAATCATTTTAAACTGTTATATCAATTAATAACTGTAGATATATAAAGAATAACAATTGAATTTGCAGTAGATAATTAATTCAGACATGTATTTAAATAGCGTCTGTCTACTTGATTTTTTTCAGAATATTGGTATCCCAATAAAAGACAGATATGATGAATTCCAGTACAGACCTGCAGCATTCGATGAATTAGGCCATGGTATTCAACATGTCAGGAAGTTTTTAGATCTCTGTGCTCAGAAGGTAATAAAGCATCATAAAAAAGATCTAAAATTACATACAGGCGAGACATATCTCTCTGTAAACAGTTTATTTGTCTGAAGATGCCATATCTGGAACCTGTGCATCTGTGAGATGTGTCTTTGTTACATAAGTCCTATTATTATTAAAAAATATCCGAAGAAGCACTTCTTGTCAATTTTTTACTTGGTTTTATACTATTCAAAAAATTGTATTGTCTCGTCAGGTGTTTTTTTTATCGTATTTTATCAGGATAACTAAATTCATATTGTCTTATAGTTTTTTCTGTCAGATAGATTATTTCTTTACGACACTTTCAAAAACAAATACCTTGTTAATCCAATTTAGTGGACATGCTGTTTATTGTCCCACATGTTTAGGGGGACATAGGAATACTGGTCACCCGTCTGTTAGCTTAGGTTATCTTGATATTATCATGCTCTATTTTGTATTTTCAGGATGAGAAATATGCCCACTTATCAGCAGAAGATGTAGAAAAAGTCTCCAAATGTCTGGCAGAAAAAGAACAATGGCACAATAAAGCACTGATGGACACACAAAAACAAAGTTGTTATGATCCTCCAAGTGTTTTAGCACAACAAATTCGATCAACAAAACAGGTATGTTAGAAAATCAAGAACATTTTTAAGTTATTGAGATTTTCTATGTTCAAAACATTGTTAATTGGGATGAAGTGAGGGATGTGTTGCATGCAAGGGTCAAGTCTTCAACCAGTTAGGATGAAAACATAGAGAGATATTAAGTATTTTCCCATTACTGGCATTTTGTGTACCGGTAGTTGTGTTTTTAGTACATAAGGTTACAGTTCACAGAAACATGATATATTAGGCATGAAGATGGAATTGATTGCAGATTAGCTAAATATCTATCATAAAGGATCGTAAGATACAGTCACAGAAATAAATTTTTTCAGTAATTATCAATATAATATGTGTTTTCAGCCGTGTGTCACCTTCACTGGTGATCCAATGAATGAATCTGTCGTAGAGGTGTCACTTGTTCAGACATACTATATATATAAAGTGACAACTCTACGACAGATCCATCCGTTGGATATAAGTACGTCTAAACAAGTGACAACTCTACGACAGATCCATCTATTGGATCACCAGTGAAGGTGATACAGGGCTGAAAACACATTTTATACTCATAACTACTCGAAATATCAGCACAACAATGATAAATCTGCAAATTTGCGGAAGCAAATTTTTGTTCTTCCCTCGCCAGCATTTGAACTTGTGCTATTGGGATATCCAGACAACACGCTAATTAGTATTGTTAAATTTATTGACACTGACGAAGGCTATTTGTAAAGCCGAAATATTTGTCAACACGATTTTATAACATCATCTTCGTTTATTACCATCTTATATTAGTACTGTTGTGCAAATCTTTAGACATATATATATATATATATATAGTCAAAATTCAAAGTAAAACTAGCCAGAACAAGATAAAACAACTATTCAGAAAAGTGTTTTGTCCAACGGTTATTAGTGAGTAATAATCAAAGAACCTACATGGAGTATTTGGATTCACTGAACCATATAATAAAAAGTGTGTTCAATATAGTTAAATCATTATAATATAAGGGAAAAAAAGATATAAATGGAGTACAAAGTTGGGAACATCATCAAATAGATAGATTGCACATAAATCAACTTGTCCACAATATATTAAATTATTTTCTAGGCATTAGATACTACGTGCAATCCCATTATGAACAAACCCAAGCCAAAAGTGGAACCTCCAAAAGAAGAGAAAAAGGAAGTGAAGAAGGAAGGAGAGAATAATGGAGAAAAAATGGAAACAGATTCAACAAAACCAGGAGAAACACCCGCAGATTCACCGAAAACAGAGATAAAACCAGAAATGGACATTGATTGATAACGTACATTAATAGGACAAATTTATTTATTTATTGAAATGAAGTGAGAGGTCACGGATAATGAAGAAATAGTTGTTCTTGAATTGTTCATTTTAGCAGACGACAGGCTGACTTCATTTTTTGATAATATTTAGGGCACTAAAGATTTGATTTTGTAAAAAGAAATTATTTTGTTTGAAATCTCTTTCTTCTAAGTCAGTTTAAAATTGGAGAGGAAACTAGCATTAAAGTTCTTTTTCTAATGTAGTTTATGAACTTTATTAGGTATTGATGTGAAAATGGGACATGATGTAGTTGATAAATTTTTATGTTTCATACTTGCACGTTATATAAGTAAAATTTGTATTAACAAAGTGAACGGTTATGTATAAAACTATAAAACTAACACATTTTGCATAAGTAACATTTTGTGGAATGGCTGATTTCATGTTTCACATCAATATGTATGTTTTATTCACACATTTTCCATTGGTGACTGCATTTGTATAATATATCATTTAATAATATAATTTATACAACAAGCTGCAAGCATAATTGTTACTGTTAATATCTGTAATGCAAGTAAGTGCTTTTTGTTGTTATGAATGGTTGTTATGGTAACTTGGCAAAATACATGGTCAAAATTGTAACAGAATTTGTACATAAAAGTAATGGCAAAATTCTGCTTATATTTATACATAAAAAAAAAAGACATAACAAGAACAACAGATGCTGGTCAAAAGACCAAAAACCAAACAAATTGACATTGTAAAAGGTCAACACCAGGTGTCACCACTGTAAACTTATATGAAATAAATGAGGTTAATTCAACCTTTGGCTGAAATATACCAAATGCTTTTACATAAATTGATTCTTATGTTAGGCATGTTAGAATTGTAACTTCATATTCAAGACTGTAATTTTATATTAAATAACTGAGATTTCACTATAAAATCAGTCCAGTCATAAAAACTTATTCTCTTTTTTTTATTGTTGATACTGTTATTCAGTGATTGACGTTTCCAATTTTTACCCTGTTACTGTTGTTTCATTGCTTCAATTTCATACATTTCATTTTCATCTTATTATTTGTTTTAAATCATCTGCAGGTATATATAGTGCTAGAGTAATCGGCAGGGATCTAGTTTATCCTTACACAAATAAGTCAAATTAAGGTGATTGAAAATTGGATTAAAGTTATAGCCCCCCCCCCATTAAAGTCAAAAAGGTAGAGTATTAGGATTGTAGTTCTGCTTCAATTAAAATTGAGAATGGAAATGGGGAATGTGTCAAAGAGACAACAACCCGACCATAGAGCAGACAACAGCCGAAGGCCACCAATGGGTCTTCAATGCAGCGAGAAACTCCCGCACCCGGAGGCATCCTTCAGCTGGCCCCTAAACAAATATGTATACTAGTTCAGTGATAATGGACGTCATACTAAACTCCAAATTATACACAAGAAACTAAAATTAAAAATGATACAAGACTAACAAAGGCCATTACTTTTTGTAATAATAAAAGACAAATATATCCCTTTGTTTAATCTGAATTTTAAGTAAGATCAAAAACAGTAAGTTTAATAAAACCTACAAAATAGTTTTGGTTTTAGAGTCTTGAAATGTATACTGCAAGATTATTTTTTTTTACAGTATTTGAGGGAATAAAAAATAGTTTGAGCATATACATTTTTTTCTCCAAAATTTGAATATGAGTAAAGTCTTTTTTAAACCTCATAAAATTCTCTAAGGACACTGATTTATAGACCAAGTTTTCTGTTGCTTTAGTATTCCATCATTAGGTTACAAATTATATTATTATACTTCAGAATGGTGTTGTATGGTTTGCTATCATTTCTGGAAGCTCTCATTTGTTGTGGTATTTTTTATTTTTCATTCTAACAAGGATTTTTATCTGAAATTTACACAGTTATACATTAAAAGGATAACAAAATTTCTAGACAGCAGAATATCAACAAGAAGTAATATGACCAGTAATCTCCCAAAATATTGAACTATTTACATTAACCAAGTGGCTGGGATTGATTTTCATGATCAGGTTCTAAATAAAATTGAAAACTTTTTAAAAAATCAGCGGTTAACTTTATGCCACAAAAGTTAGGGATCATTGTTTGTTACAAAGTTTGCTTTTGATATAGTGAAACTGGACTCTCATTTCTTAAATTAATAAAAAGAACTTCATTAGGCCTTGTGGTCACATGACAAACATGTGACAGTTTGTAGTATAAATGAACCATACATTGTTGGTAACTTCTACGTCATTTGTAGAGAGTTGTCTAATTGGCAATCGTACCACATCTTTTTTTAATACATACATATCTGTTATTAGATATACACAGTTTACAGAAAGAAACAAAGGTTTACTTACTAAAATTCAATGTTAAAAGTTAAAATTGACCAGTAAATAGAATTTTCAGTTCAGCATAAGAGCATTTTGTAATTCATAAGCATTTTGTTATGTCATGTAATTGTGAAGTTTATGTTGCCATTAAAAACTGTAAATATAGATTTGTACAACTGATTTACTGTTCCTAAGCATTGCATGCATTAATGTTGAGGTAATCTGTTTAGGTGAGTATTGTCCAGTTGTTAAGTGCTTGTCTCGAATGCAGGAGGTCGTGTGTTCATTCTCTCGGTAGGTCAAACAAGAGACTTCAATATTTGTAATTGCTGCTTGTCTGCTTTAAAGTTAGAGCAAAGATTGGTTGGCTTGGAGTCAGAATATTGTTAATAGTTAGAATGAAATGTCTTCCTGCAGACTTGAAAATATGATTTAGTGTTTTGGACTAGTTCAAAGCAGGGTACATTCAATGTATTTATTAAAATATCTCTTGAAAAATTGATAGCCAAGAAGCAAGTACTGTAAATTCAGAAATTTTGGCGACATTTTTATCATTGCAAAAATTGTGTCAGGACAGGTTTCCCAAAAGTAAAACTTGTTAGGATTATTTTTATGTAGCATTTCTTTGTCCATTTTTCTACAAATCCAATAAAATGCATGCAAATATTTATGAATTTACAATATATCCCTTTAACAGAACTTAATATTTTTCAGTAACGAAGCCTGTATCTATTGAGGAATTTGTAAACAAAATCTTTTATGATGTCTTCATGCTAATTATTTGATTAGTTGATTAATTGTTGCTTGCTTAATGTCCAGTGGCAAATATTTTATGCATTCTCAGGACGAGAAAAAAACAACAATTAATGCTATAGTTAGGTTTTGCAAGGTAGTCTAACCCAAATGAAGGATAAGAAATTTTGACTGCCATAGGTAATCAGTGTATGTTAGATAGGGATAAGAAATTTAGCTGTGCAACAGGCTACCTACGGACCCCTCAAAGAGTTGACGCAAGGGCCTTTTAAACTTGCAGAGAGCATGGCAATCTCTCTACAGTAAGCATCAGATTTAACGTCCATAATCAGAATGGATGTGGGAGTATCCAACATCCTGCACCAGTAAAAGAACCCACTTTAGCAAGGGTTTTACTGATAGAACAAAAGACGTCCAGGAGACCCATATTTATTAATTAATAGCACATTAGAAAAAGGTCTTTAAAGTGACAAATGGGTTTTGTTAACTGGATTTTCGAAGGAAAAATCGGTTATTGATTTGTGGATGTACAGCGGGCGGCTGCCAAACAGTGTCTGTTCATTAACATGCAAACGCTTAGACAAAATGTTTTCAAATTAAGATATGTTGTTTCCTATGACTAAATGAAGGTCAAGTTCAATTTTCACGATTTTAGCTTTTCTCATTGTTGAGTTGTCGACCTTTTAGAATCCAAAAGTTATACTTATTATATGATTGAGTTATTTCCCTTTGAACAGAAATTGTGATTTGCATTAGGTAATAATCTATTTTTATTAAAGGATATATTTCATTACATTACATTGTGTAGATAAAATTGTTGACATTGATGGATAAGTTGCAGATCTATATTAGTTTGTGACAAATGAATGAAAAAATATTGGGAATTTTTAATTATATATTTAAAGTTTGATTAAACTAAGTGTTTTTAAATATTTTTCACCTGTTATCAGATAATAAAGCATCTGGTAAATATCTTATCACACAATTATAATTGGAGTGACAGATTTATATGAAAATTTTCTGTTTCCTAAGTGTTGATGATGATAAGATCTGTAGGACAGTATAAATAAAGTTTGAAATTTACTGCTCATCATTAGACATTTTGAAGATAATTACAGGTAAGTTTTATAGATTTTTTTTATAGATATTGTATTAATGATAAATGTCATTTTGGATTTTTTCTTCTTTTCTTTGGTAAATTGTTTGAAGAATTTTGTGGTAGGTTTGTTTGTTATTCTGTATAAACATATTTTCTGAATGCTATATCTTTATATTTTTTGATGAAGCGAACTCCTTTAAAAACTAAGCTTTGTTTGTCTATTAATATACATATATTTAGATTTCTGATTTTGGGCCCAGTTTTCAAGTTGGTCCAAATTGGGGTCCAAAATTTTACTGTGTTTGATTTCAACATAAATTGAATATATATAGGGTTCTTTGAAACGCTGAATCTAGACCTGTATTTATTTTCATTATTAATTGGATAATACCACATTGAGGTCCAAAGGGTCCTAAATTAAACTTGTGTTTGATTTCATCAAAAATTGAATTTTTGGGGTTCTTTGATATGCTGATTCTAACAATGTACTTAGATATTGGATATTGGACCATAATAGGTTAATGTTCGATTTCAAATTTTTCAGTTCTTTGACCACATTCATTTTGTGTCACAAACTTATGCTGTGTCAAATATTCAATCATAATCCAAATTCAGAGCTGTTTTAAGCTTAAATGTTGTGTCGATACTTGCTCAACTGTTCATGGTTCGACCTCTGCAGGAAAATCTTGTTTGCTGTCACTCTGACAGCCTCTTGTTTGTACATATTATCCAGCATTACTAGACCAGGGAACACTGTTGTCTCTTGATTTTTGGTGTCCACAAATATAGTCCCTAGCATGGACAGTGTGTTGCAATTATTTTCCATACACCTTCCAAATTTGTCTCTTCATGTTTAATGCATCAAATAGGAAGTGGAGGGATAAAATAACCGGCAAAAAATTAAGTCATGAAATTTTATTTAAAGTAGTGGTTTCGTCCAGTTGAAAAAGGTCAAAAATGAATGTCGGAAACTGTCAAATTGAAGACCAGATTTTGGGTTGAGAGCTGGTAGACTTTTTATAATTTCGATACAATTTGTCCCAAAAGAAGTACACTGCACTGTAAATATCTTATTGAAAAAACGCAGAGGAGATTTTTGTCTATGCAAGACATGGGGATTATATGTCTGATTGTCCAGTTTCATCTGACATTGACCTCAACTTCATTGGGCAATGAACAATGTTAAGTTTTTCATGTTCGGTCTATTGTTTTCTATACTTTAAGCAATAGGACCTCTTTATTTAGTGTATGGAATTATTGTACTTGTGAACATATCTGTCTGGCAGGTTTCATCTGACCTTGACCTCATTTTAATGGTTCATTGGTCAAGGGTAAATTTTTATAATTTTGTCTGTTTATCAGATACTATAAGGTTTAGGTCAGCTATATTTGGTGTATGGAATGATTGTACATGTACATGTCTAGTCTTGCATGGTTCATCTGACCTTTACCTCATTTTCATGGTTCATTAGTCAGTTAAGTTTTCATAGTCATGTTGGTTTCTTAGATACTATAGTTTAATATTGTATTAGAAATGCCCTAAAGGAATAAGGGATAAAAAGTCCGAAAGAAAATTTCAAATTGACAATTAAAAAACTTTAAATGATAATTATGTGGCTCTATTAGATTACCTCCTTAGGTCACAAGGTCATGTTTAAAAATTGCCTCATGTCATCAGGTCACATTAAAGCAAATTTAACGGGTTTAAGTGTATGTAAGACAATAATAATCATGCAGTATGCATGTTAGATTGCATGTGTTTTTTGTTTGGATATTGTATGAACTTTGTGATTTGTATTAATTTATATACTTAGGAATAACAAATTTGGATTTGATGGGATTTATAAAAAAAAAGAAAACAGAATCAAAGTACTGACGTACTGTTTACTCGGATGATCCCAAAATATGACGACTGATGATCAGCGTCCAATATTTCAGCCCAAATTACATAACACATTAAAAACATAACCATAATGTAGGTGCTGTCATCACAGTGAGTAGAAAGCGACAACTGAAAAAAGAGAGACAATTTCCGAAGGCTTGAGTTAGATTAACATTTGCATTCTGGTCAGATGTGACTATGCATAAAACAGTCAAACACACCCCTCCCCGAATTGGTCTTTTTACGAGATTAGACAAAACCTAGTTACCATAATTCAAATAAAGTATTGTAACCCTTGCTTGTGTCTACACTATACGATGATTATCCAAACTAGACCCTTACATACTAGTACCATGATTATTGCCACCCGTTTCTTTGCAAATTCACAGCGTAGGTCTTTCTTATTTTCAACACTTGCTTAAATATTGTTTACTTAGTTTTAAATAGTTCTTGTCTAGCAGGCGAGACATAGGGATTACTATCCGGCGGCAGAGCGTAAACTATTTGTATTAAACTTAATATTTCAGAAGGTTGAAGACCAGGATACTTCATATTTGTATGCAGATACCTTATGTTACGAAGTTTCCGTCAACATATGTCCATTGTCCTTGACCTCATTTTCATGGTTCAGTGACTGCTGGAACAAAAATTATAGTTCTTTTGTCAAGTGAATTTCTCACTTATTATGAGTAATTGGATAACTATATTTGGTACATGGGCTACTTGCAACGTTTACATGTCCACCAGACAGGGTTCACCTGACATCGACCTCATTTCATATATCAGTGATCAAGGTTAAAGTTACGTGATTAGGTCCGTTTATCAGATACTATAAGTAGTAGGTCAACTATATATGGTGTATGGATGATTGTAAGGGGTACATGTCAGTCTGGCAGGTTTCATCTGACTTTTACCTCATTTTCATGGTTCATTGGTCAATATTAAGTATTTTGTGTTTTGGTCTGTTTTTCAAGTACTATAAGCAATATGTCAGCCAAATTTGATGTATGGAATATTCGTCAGGTGTATATGTCTGTCGGACAGGTATCATCTGACCTTGACCTCATTTTCATTGTTCATTGGTCAATGTTAAGTTTTTGCGTGTTGGTCTATTCTTCAATTACCATAAGCAATAGGTCAACAAAATTTGATGTATGGAATAATTGTAAGGTGTACATGTCTGTCTGACAGGATTTATCTGACTATGACCTCATTGTCATGGATCTAAAAATGTTAAGTTTATGTGATACATGTAGTAAAACCTTTATCTATAAGACTTTCAAGATAAAATCAATGGTCAGTAAAGCAGGCGAGACATATCAGCGTGTGCACTCTTGTTTTAATCTTAAAGCAAAACTTCATGCTCTTTCTTGACCTTAGCATGATCCAATCATACAATGATGAATTTAAGGATTTTATACTATGTTTAACCATGGAAGTATTATATTGTCAATACAATACTTCCATGGTTTAACATACAAAATGTTATAGGTGATTGAATGATTTTTTTAACGGATGAGGTAACTCACAGTAGCTTTTATTAGTTTGATAATCTTTATTCTTAATCAGTAGCTGACCAATAAACTAGTTAAACGTGAGATGAATTGTTAAATATGAATAAGGGGAAAGTAGACCAGCCAAACCGTATTTTGTACTGATCGAGCGCTATTGGAACACTTTGAAGAATTTTACAAATATAAATAAGAAGACAATGGGTAGAAGTCAACAGGTCAACCACCTTAAATTTATGTTAAACTACAGAGACATTGAATATTTAGCGTCTAGCGACAACAAAGCTCCGCTTGCTGGTCCTCTGAAAGTGGATGAATGTTCTTGCGCCTGTTAAAACGTTTAAACCCGTTGCATTTGTATGCACCTGTCCTAAATTAGGAGACTGTTGTTCAGTGGTTGTCGTTTGTTGGTGTGGTTCATAGTGTTTCTCGTTTCTCGTTTTTTATATAGATTAGACCGTTGTTTTTCCTGTTTGAATTGTTTTACACTAGTCATTTTGGGGCCCTTTATAGCTTGCTGTTCGGTGTTAGCCAATGCTCCGTATTGAAGGTCGTACTTTGACCTATAATTGTTTACTTTTTATACTTTGTGACTTGGATGGAGAGTTGTCTCATTGGCACTCATACCACATCTTCTTATTTATATTGACATATGGTATAGATAACCTGTCTTTTGTTTAATGTTTGTATATGTGCGTGTATCTTTGGGCTGCTATCACATGGAAGTTAAAACCCCAAGGGTTGACTGGGGTATAGAAATATGATCATGCCATCAGTATCGTCAGTAAAACCCTTGCCTAAGTGGGGCGTCCACTTGAATGTGTGATATGTATAAGTTTGCAGCCACGCCCGGTAAGAATGTGGACGAAGAATCCAATGTCTCGTGTAGAGAAAGATCCAAACTCTCTGCACATTTAGAACTCTTGTAACAACCTTGAGGGATCCGTAGGTGGCCTGTTGCAAGGCTAAACCTTATTTTTCCCTATCGAATATACCCTCATTTCCCTCTGGCATTCCGAATTTCTCGCTCTCCCTCCTGGTTGACCCCTTATTGCAGGATCTTCCTATTATAAAAATTGATAATTTGTTATCGTCCTGAACATGCATGAAATGTTTGCCACTGGACGTAATAAACAAATAATAATCAATCAACATTGATGGTAACCCTGCATCTCATTCATTTATATCAAAAGTATTTATACAAATGTTCAAATAAAAGTTCCTTATGTTTGAGATCCGTTTTCATGAGCAATTTTTAACAATGTTTTTTGCAAGAATTTAACTTACGATTGGACCTAAGTTTCGGTTTCCTTATACCATCGTTGATGACATATGTAATGAATATTCACACTTTGGAAATTAGTGTTACATTATAATAATTTTATATGATTTGCAAATCTAAAAATACTTGAATGTTATTGGTCCGTTAGAATTTTTCCCTTGGTTTACACATCGGTAGACAATGTTGCCCAAACTACTTTCGTAACCGTCGATTTCAATTTGATATATCCATATGCAAATCACATGAGTAGAATCGAAGAGTTCTATGAAAATTAAAGTTAAAAGAGAAATAAATAACATATGCTTGGGTTGAGAATTATATATGAACTTTGGACTTTTATTCAGTTTGTGAGGCAATAAGTTCAGTTTACACATCAATAACCTCTAGAAAACAATGTGTTTAATCTTTAGGCTATACATTACGTGTCGTTTTATTGCTCTGAGCACTCACAAAACACAGACATATTATACTAGTACCTATACGTCACAAACTCAATAAGCGGTGCAGTAATTTAAGATTTATTTTTAATAAATTGTTTTCACAGTTTTTGAAAACAAGGTACTAACTGCAAATCTTTCGTCCGAACTTCTAAAATATATATAAATAGATATGATTGTTTATTGGTCAAGCTATTCTAAACCTAAAGGTGCCTTTTAGATGAATCTTTGACTAAATTACTCATTTCATGGCTGATGAAATGTATATTCACCACTCAATAGACTAAAATAATAGACTAAAAACAGTAATTTATTTATTTGCTAAACATTTATTATTAAAAGACTTTCTATATTCTTCTTATCATCATAACAGATGTTTTGGCAGTTTGGCCAGGTAAGTAGTTCCAATACAAGCTGGAGCTGAACTTTCTGTTGAGTCCACTCGTGGCGCAACTTCCATGCCACCAAGGCCCACTACCATCGGTACAGTCACCACTATTCTGATCATTGTCTTGATCAGTGGCAGAAAACAGTTTTCCATTATGATAATTCATCGAATCACCTGGATAATAGTTTATTTTTATACATAACATTATAAATATATGTGTCCTCTAGCTGTAGAGAAAGACTTGAGTTATTTCATTAGTTACAATCATAGAAGAGGGTCTGGGGATGTCATCATTTCTGTTTTCTTTATTCTTTAAACCATTTTTCTCTATTGTTTTTTTCTTGCTCGTTTTTCTCTATTCTTCATCTTCATATTTGATCACTTCATTATTCTCTATTCCTTATTTTTCATGTTCGTTTTTCTGTATTTTTTATTTTTGTTCATATTTTATTTCTTGAAACCCTATCCAGACCCTCCTAGAACGATGTATCATCTTATCAATTGAGCTGTAATATTTAACTAAAAGCGATGTTTTAATGCTCAGTTTTCAGCAATTCAGGATATTAAAGAAAGAGGATAAAACCAGTATTGAAAAAGATATGTTTTTCTGTTACTTCGATTTGGGACGATCGAGTTGTGTAGCATTCTAGGTTTATATCAATACCACCGGGTTAGCCGTTAGAGTGCTAGTTAGCAAAATCATAAGACAGAAAGAGAAAGGGAGATTATCTATTCAGTTTTAGTAAAAGAATATACATATTGTATATACAATGACGATTAGAAACCGTGATGTTTGTCGTTTTCAACCGGTAATATCTTTAGGATAAAATAGAAGAATGACCCGTAATGCATCATTTAAACTACATATCAAGATAGATTGTTTATTTTCTGTTGTAATATCCATTCGACAAGAATCAAAATATCATAATAAATCCCCCCTTAACATAGGTATTCTCTTTTATATGATGAATTGACCCAAATGTTACTGTTTCCTGCAATTCCACCCTTACAAAAAAAAAAAAGATTCGAGAAAAAAAAATTTAGTAATTACCGGCATTTCCACTGTATTTCCCAACACTTAGTTTGTATTTCGATGCTGCATCTCCGATACTGAATTGTTTGTACGCAGCATATTTCTTCACATTTTCGTTGTCTGTCAAATCTATCCTCAGTTCATATTTACCACTAGATGTCATATGGTGGATATGCTTGTTTCCTTAAAAATTCATAAACATAATTATGAAATATATTTCTTTGTGAATGTGGATAGAGAATGAGGCAACCCAACATCACAATAAAACCAAATACACATCTATAGATGCACATGGGGTCTTCATTTATTTCCATCTTCTAGGCTGTCTCGTAGTAGCGTGCTCGCCTCGGATGCGCGAGATCGTGAGTTCCGGCCCTTTCCGGGTAAACCAAAGATTTTTTTCTCTCTCGTTCTAAGATTATATGTAGAGAGATTTCATATCCATTCTCCCTTCCAATCGATATTTTATAGTGTGTTTTTCTATGTTGTGATGTTATACTATTGTTTCAGAAAAAGGGAGAAGGTTTGGTACCATTAAAACGTTTAATCCCGCTGCATATGTTTGCACCTGTCCTAAGTCAGGAATCTGATTACAGTAGTTGTCGTCTGTTTATGTAGTTCATACGTGTTTCTCGTTTCTCGTTTTTATATAGATTAGACCGTTAATTGGTTTTTCCGTTTGAATGGTTTTACACTAGTAATTTTTTGGGGCCCTTTATAGCTTGCTGTTCGGTGTTAGCCAATGCTCCGTGTTGAAGGCCGTACCTTGACCTATAATGGTTTACTTTTATAAATTTTAACTTGGATGGAGAGTTGTCTCATTGGCACTCATACCACATCTTCCTATATCTATCATATATATGAATGGCTTGCACCTTAACATCCGTCAATACATTTTCGCTAGTCAGACAGTTAAGACTAGTACAAGACATGATACCTACAACATCGTAATATACAGAGTTTGCAATATTTTCATAACTATCAAAGTACAATGAATAAATGAATGACAGTAAATGTTTGATTGCTTTGCCACATTTATTTTATTGATATCATTCATTGGCCTTGTTTTTTCAATTCACAGTTGTGAAGTGATCGTCAGTTTGCAAAAAATTCCGCTCAAACCGGTGCTAGGGGCCCCGTCTTAAACTTGCAGAGAGGTGAGAGTTTTTTCTCCGTGTTGAAGACCTCACTGTGACTTTAAGATGAAGAACGGCATTACAAACGCTGTTCCTTTGCATGTTTTGTTTTCACTGTGTATGGTCTGATTTTGTGTCATGGATAGATACCTTATATCTTTTCAATCAATCAATCAATCAATCAATCAATCAATCAATCAATCCATTCATCCATCCTTCCATCCATCCATCCATCCATCAATCAACCAATCATTCAATTGTCAATTTTTAATAAATACATATATAACATTTTTTATATAAATGTTCAACATATAATCAATGGATAGTTTATATATTGGACCCTTATATTGTGTGTTATAACTTATTGATTCTGTGCTTTATTACGGAAAGTTATCACAAACAAAGTCGATAAAGTGACTTACCTAACCAGTATTCACCTTCAACATTCCCAAACCCATTTTCGTATTCTGCCCACGTTCGTTGGAAATCCACAGTTCCATCAAAGTGTCTCTGGATTATCTAAAGAATAGGAAATATTGCTTCAATACGATGTCTGAAGACTTTTTATTTTTTTAAATATTTTTTTTAATGCTTTCTCCTTTTAAACTGTATACCTAACAACAAAATTATTTTCATTTACCTGCGTATAATATTATTGTAAATGGCGGATTTTTGTTTAAGGTTATTGTTGTTTTTCTGAAATTGTTTAGCATTTCACAGCGGTATAATACTGTTACTTTAATTATTCGTCCCTTATTTTGTGGATTTTGTATTTACATTGTATCATAGATCAAATTTATTCGTTCAGTGTATGATCATATGTGTTAATATGTCCTTTGAATGAGTTAAGTCATTTCAATTGATATTTTATAGTGTGTCTTTCTATGTTGTGATGTTACACTTTTCTATGTTGTGATGTTACACTTTTCTATGTTGTGATGTTACACTATTGTTTCAGATAAGGGTGAAGGTTTGGTACCATTAAAACGTTAAAACCCGCTGCAATTGTTTGCACCTGTCCTAAGTCAGGAATCTGATGTTCAGTAGTTGTCGTTTGTTGATGTGGTTCATAAGTGTTTCTCGTTTTTTATATAGATTAGACCGTTGGTTTTCCCGTTTGAATGGTTTTATACTAGTAACTTTTGGGGTCCTTTATAGCTTGCTGTGCGGTGTGAGCCAAGGCTCCGTGTTGAAGAACGTACTTTGACTTATAATGGTTTACTTTTATAAATTGTGACATGGATGGAGAGTTGTCTCATTGGCACTCATACCACATGATCTTATATCTATATATCATCATGATATTTCGAAAATTTAAATCGATCCATTAAAAGTTGTGATTGATTGATTGTTAATTGATTAACGTCCAGTGTAAAAATGGTGTTAGTTCACGATCTTGTTTTAATGCAACATCATTCTTTGGAAGGAATTTCTCATTGTGAAAGTACGGTGGTCTATAATTGCTAACATCCACATCATCTGAACTCTGGTAAATAGTTGTCTTATTGGCAATCAAACCATATCTCCTTATTTTTATATTTAACAAAATTCAATAAATAGGGACATCAATTAACTTTTAACTCTTCATAAATACTACGTACTTTCATAAAATCATTTTAAATGAATAACAACTTTTCCCGTTTATATGTGAATCAAAATAATTAATAAATAAGAAAGGAGAAGGGGAGAAGGTAACGAAGGAACAATTCAAAAACCATAAGTCAATGAAATTCGGACATTACCATGGCCACAAAACACGAACAGAAAAACTACAAAACACAACACGGATGGTAAAAATTCAGCAATACGAACCCCAACAATCCCGATGGTGAATTAACTGGGAAACAATTAACTTCATTGCAAAAGTGACTATACACAAAATATTATACTAACCGACCAACCACCTCCGTCAGTTGTCATATCACAGTAAACCTCTAGGTACTTCGAATTTCCTGGAGATATATTGTATACGCCGGATTTTTTGTTGTACTTCTCATGCTCAGTACAATCTTTTGCAGGCTTTGCACATGTTCCTAATAATAATGAAAACATACAAATAAATTAAATGAATGCTACTATTTTGTCTATTTGATGTCTTTAACAAAACAAAAACAAACAAACAAATTAGGTCTGTAGAGGACGAATGGAGAGTCTTAAAACATTGATAACTACATATGAACAAATAAATTACATTAATTTTCAATAAGAATTCCATCTATATAAATTTTCTGCGCTTCATACAAAATGTGCCTTTTTAACGCTTTTACACCCCAATAAAACTACGAAAAGATATATTATATACTTATAATTACATGTACGTATTTTCGTTTGAAATGTTTCCCATTTTGTCATGTATGACTTCAATGTCCGGGCTTTGCTCTTGTTGAAAGCCGTGAAATGACTTATAGATGTGTAAATCATCTTCACTTAGATTTTGATGGATAGTTGTTGTCCTTGGCAATTATACCATATCTCCTTATTCTATATCGTCCTGAACATACGTAAAATATTTGTCACTTGACAATCAACAATCAATCTTTATTTTCGTCTGTACCAAAAGACCAGATCTAGGACAAATTTTTCAACAACTATGCTTATGCTTTCTTATATCTATGATTATCAGATGCATTGTGGTAAGCTAAATGTAACTGTTGCATATGCATATAGAATGCGTTAATAATAATAACAAATACCTTTGAAATCATTCTTCAATAGACTTACTATCCTTGAAAATTTTTTTTCCCCTCGAGTTTCTGAAAATATGATAATTACAAATTAATCAATAAGTATAAAACATCATATATTGAACTTCTTTTTTTCAAAGAGTTTTGAATTTTAATAATTTCATAATCAAATGTAACCGATACTGGAAATTCCGAAATTTTTGTGTGCATTAATTATTGCGATTTAAAAAGAATGGACAAAAATGCGAGATAAATTATTGAGATTCCTGAAGGAATAGCATACAGATATATGTATCATATATCAAAATGCAAGTTCTTATTATTGCAATACTCACCAAGTCGAATTATTCAAATTAGTAAAGACCTCGAATTAATTTCTGAATTTACAGAAATTCATGGAATAACTTATATCATATACACTTAAGGTCATAACCCCACCCCCACCCCCCACAAAAAAAAAAAAAAAAAAAAAAAAAAAAAAAAAAAAAAAAAAAAAAAAAAAAACTCCCAAAAAACGGATGTTATCAACATCGTAATGAGAGTGTAGTTAAATAAGTTGAACTTCTATAATAAAATATGTTTTCACTAATTGATAACTTATTGGCAGTATCTAATCCATTACAATTTTCAAACGAAAAGACATTCTAATAAATAGTATATAGTATATACATACCTTCTAAGATCCATGTGATATCATTTTTCAATTGTTTATTCGTTTTAACAACATCTTTGTATATTGCCATATCTACAATAGAGATAATGATTAATATGAAGTATTATTGCCAATAAAACTACTTTCAACAAGAGTCCAAATAAAGTATATGTTAGCAATCATAGGTCACAGTACGGCCTTTAACAATGGTCAAAACCCATACTACATAGCAACCTTTAAAAGGCCCCAAAATGACATATGTTAAAAAAAAACGTAACGGTCTGATTTATGTTCAAAACTAGAAACGAAAAACAAATATGATATACAACAACAAACGACAACCACTGAATTACAGGCTACTGAGTTTTAACAGGCACATACAGAATGTGACAGTGTTAAACATGTAAGGGGGCACCCAATCCTCCTCTAATATGGGACAGAATACAACAGAAGAACGAACTATAAAATCAGCTGAAAAGGGCTTAACTGATCAGATCGATACAAAACAGGAAAACTACTAACAAAAACACAGACATGACTTGGCAAGGATTTTATACATCGTTGGTTCATGTCTTTGATATTTATTGTTCCTAAAATATTTTGTTATAAATTTAGCCATTAAGTTTCTTAATTAAATTAATTCACATTTTTCATGTCGAGGCCTTTTATAGCCGACTTTACTGTTTGGGTTTTTGTCATTTTTTGAAGGCTGTGCAGTTGCCTAAAATTGCTTACATTCACTTCATTGAACTTTGGTGGATAGTTGTTTCATTGGCAAAAATACTACATCTCCTTATTTTTTTTTTTTTTAAATAGGATAATTACTCTGATAGTCTTCACATATGAGGGGAATATACAAAGCTTATTTAGAATTAAAATGGCAAAAATCTTAACAATTTGGCGACCGGCTGCTAGAAAGATGGCGAAATTGTTGAAAGCTGTCTAATATGTTATTACTAAAAAGAAGAGGCTTTGATAGAGGAAAATTAAAAGCTGACGATCCAAAAAGGTGGAGAGTAAGTTGATTTCAAACAGAAGAGATTCTCTATAGAAAATTTATCTGAATAGGTTATCAATGTACCAACGAATTACTTCTTACGCGTTTAATATGAACGATTTGCTAATTAAATAGAGTTGGTTGAAAACAATAGATTGATGTGTTTACTTCGTTGTTACTCAAATAAACTCATCATAGATACAAGCATTAAAATTTTGTACTCCAGACGCGCGTTTCGTGTACAAAAGACTCACAAGTGACGCTCGAATAAAAAAATATTTAAAAGGACCAAATAAGGTACGAAATTAAAGAGCATCATGGACCCGAAATTTCGAAAGGTTTTGTCAAATAAAACTAAGGAAAATAGAGCTATATTCTTTTTTGAATTAATTTCTTTTCTATCATAGTAAGTATATTACAAACATGGCTAACGAATTTTAATTGTCAAATAATCAACCAATGTTCTAATTCCTCTCTTCAATTTTTTAAATTTTAATGTATATTACCTAACGTAAGTTCTACATTTTTTAAAGTACACAGTGACAAGAAATCTTAGTGATAATCAATAACACATGTTACTACATAAAAATCCTCTACAAAGTAATGTTGCCAAAAATAAAGAAATAAAAAATAAAATAATAAAAGAACGATTAAACCTTATGTAAAATAGTTTTAGTGTTATGATAACTTTGAAATTTTTCAATATTACTTTGATGGCAAATACTTGCTAAAGTGTTTTGTTTATGGTATGTCGAAAGAAGCAAAGAACGTATGAAAACAACAATAGCCTTTCAGTCTGTAAAATGTTTGAATTGTTTGTGGCTGTGAAATTTAAAAACAATTTGATATTATTGATTCCGAATGTCAGGATCATTTCAGAATAGAATAGATAGTATTTGAGATATTTTTCATGATTATGTCATTTTCATTTAAAAAAACCTTTCTTTTCTCAAAATATCTAGACCAGAGATCGGGAAAGTTCATATACATATAAAATGAGATTGGTACTTATTTTAGTTTCATAGTATCCCATTAAAAATTATTCATATGACATACTTTTGAGCAAAACTTGTGAATCCTTTTTCATCTCTTGCACAGTCTTGGGTAGATTTCTATGTAGACATATTCCTGTAAAAAGAAAGAATATAATATAAAGCCAACTCAAACTAAACTACTTATTAATATAAACATATTCATGTCATGATATTCATCTTCATATATATACTGACATTACAAAGTATATTCTCTTCCCATTATTTTTTATTTAGTCATATAAATCACTCTATTCCTTAAATTTGAAAAATGTTGTATCCAGTTCCCTTTGTTATATAATTAGAATTAGTTTTTAATCACATAATAATACCAACCTTTTTTTGTACAAAGCATACCATTACGTAGTCAGCTACACCAAAATAAATAAAATCCGATGTATACTATGCTTAAAAGACCTACGACACATTCAATTTAAAAATGGGACTTACTACGTACATTTGAAAGTGATAACAGCCTTTTTTTGTATAAAAAAGAAATGGTTTTCCCGAAAAGATCTTATGTCACAATTCCTTGTTTTACTGAAAGTCTGAACACCAAAAATAAAAATATTGAAAGATAAGAAACCAGGAACTTTTGGACTGATTACACTTGAACCCCTTCAGATACAGACATGAGGTACTAGTATATGCAACATTGAAAGGCTAAACAAATGAAAGTTTTTCAATATATGGGGCTACCTGTTTTGGTTCTATACAGGGTCTTACTTTCAAAAAATGGATGTCAAAATAACATTTCTTGCAGTTTAAGTATATCAGTGCTGCGACGTTTAATCCCATAAATACACATTATACGTCTACTGCATCATGTACATCTGCAAGCTTATGAATTGCAAGATGACTTTATATAGCAAATATATGCCACACATCTGAGTAAAGGAAAATTTTAACAGAAAAAACCCACGAACAAACTACATAGTCAATCGCGACATCAATTCCTTTAGTTACAGACACGTGAATGTCTTATATCGTATGCTTTATTTTAAAGTTTATAGAAATGGAAAGTCAATGTGTGACATACATTTGTTATGGGGTAACGGAGGATATGAGTACCCTTGATAATTGAATTAGCGTATTAGTTCGTCTTGCAGTTGATGCTGCGAATCATTTTCTCCGTCTTAATTATCTTCTGTAACATCATTTGGCGTCTTCACATTTCAATCGATACGCGCGTGCATGTCCTCATCTTATAGACTTCATGGACAAGGGTTATGTTGCCCTAGTTGGGTTATGAGGAAAATCGACACATGACAAGTTTTACGGTTACCATAATATATAATGAACTGATTGACTGATAATTATCAGATGTGTTTTGTCTCAACCCACACTATGCATGTTTTCGCGGTCTTAGATCTTAATATACTAGGAAATAGTTATCAAAGGTACCAGGCTTATAATTTGATACGCCAGACGCGCGTTTCGTCTACATAAGACTCATCAGTGACGCTCAGATCAAATAGTAAGAAAGCCAATCAAGTTTGAAGTTGAAGAGGATTGAGGACCCAAAATTCCAAAAAGTTGTGCCAAATACGGTTAAGGTAATCTATGCGTGGGATAAGAAAATCCTTAGTAATTCGAATAATTCATACTTTTGCAAACAGTTAATTTATAAAAATGACCATATAATTGATATTCATGTCAACTCCGAAGTGCTGACTACTTGGCTGGTGATACTCTCGGAGACGAAACGTCCACCAGAAGTGGCGTCGACCCAGTGGTGTAAATAGTTATCAAAGGTACCCGGCTTATAATTTGATACGCCAGACGCGCGTTTCGTCTACATAAAGTCGTTTGATTTGTATTTACCGACAACATTGTGCGCATATTCTAATCAACGAATAAAGAAACACATATAATAGACGAAGGATATGGAAGCAAATTGTACATAGTCAGTATGAGATACACTGCCGGTTTAAGGGGCTATGGAAGATCCGACTACTAGTATCAAAATGCATTTCCAAAATAGCCTATAATGACAAGATTCAAGCGTGCGCCACTGATGAGTCTTTTGTATATTACCTGCGCATCTGGCGTACCAAATTGCATGCCAGGTGTCCTTGACAAGTTTTAACAACCACTAGAGAAGACATTACAAAGCTGCAAAAAATGTATCTCATTGATTTGTTTAGTTTCTGAACAATAAAATTTGTTTTAACTAACAATCACTGAATCGATACTACATTTTTTTGCCGAGAATATCAACAGCCAAGTAGCTGCATTGTTGTGTTGATATGAAATATCTTTGATATACGTTCATTTTCTGTAAATTTTTTATTTCTTAAGCTGTTTATAGAATTTTGAATTATTCAAAAACACTAATAGGGACTTTCTACCATCAAGCAAAAATTGCCTTACAAATATATTGCACATTTTTTCAGAAGTTTTTGAGTATGCAAATAAAGGCAACAGTAGTATACCGCTGTTCAATAGTCATAAATCGATTTAACTGAAACAAATCCGGGTCAAAAACCAAATCCGAGGGAAACACATGAACTATAAGAGGAAAACAACGGAACAACAGAAACACTGAACTGATACAAGAACAAACGCTAACATACAAAGAAACGGACTATTTGATAACAAATGCAATATGCCTGACTCTTCAACTTCGTATTTGATTTTGCCTTGCATCTGTTTTTTATTTGAGGGCCACTGATAAGTATTGTGCACGCGCATCTTGCGCATCAAGATATAAGCCTTGTTGGTATCTTTGATTAGTTTTTATTCAATTGACTGCTGAGACCTCTTGTCCCCAAATAACGGACATGACATTTATGATGATCAATTTTCTATAATTGTATCTTCTCTCTTTTCATACTGCATTTGAAATCTAAATCAAAAATGGGCGACATAGTGTATGTGGTCAGCATTGGGCATAATGGTTATTTTGTGCCCTGCTTTTGCTATACTTTTTGACCTTTTTTGTTTATAAGCTCTTCATATTTTTAAATAAGTTTTTGGAATTTTAATTTGCTTTTTTGGGCGAATCAACGAAACGATATTTATTGTCGAAGTGCGCACCTGGTGCAGTAAAATTGGTAGCGTTAATGTAAGTTATTGTATAACCCAAAAAAGTTCCATATCAAGGTAAAAAATGCGCTTGTGTTTACGTTATATCCCTAAATTAAAAAAAATGAGGTCTGCATCATGAACTTTCATAATAATGATTAAAGTTTAAGGTATAAAAGAAGCCATTAATGGATAACTGCGATTTGACCACTACTTTATATTAAAGGTTCATTGAGGTACAGCACATTTTCATGGTCAATATAAGGCACTCCTATGGGGGTACAGATGGGATTTATACCACCAAAAACTCATAAAACAAGATAAATATAGTCCATCAGGAACTCTTATATTCACATGACAGCCGCAAACTTTAATACCCTTCTTACAGAAAACTAAATAAATATAGTCTATGTAGGGCACATAATGTTGTTTTTGAGATGAGGAACGTCTGACTATCGAATATACGTGTCAAAATACCCCAATAGGCTGTATTCATGTAACTACCGGGGCCCTTTTCTTTTCATTACAGACATGATTACTGTTGTATTTAAAGGCCAATAGAATATATATAACCAAAAAAGAACAAACGCCAGGTTTTTAAGGATAAATGAAGCTTTTCATACAATAGCCACAAAACGAGAAACAATGTCAGGAATCCTTTTAACTGAGTGAATCCACCTGTTACCTGAAAGAAACTGCCAAGAATGTATATACACATGTACAACCTATCAACTGCAATGAAGTGAATGTTGCGACTACAATTTCCCTAATTATATATACTTCATTTATAATATCTTACAAACCGAAAGTATGCTCAGCATTGATTGTACACATTTTCCCCAATTCTTTTTACTTGCACTGACGCATACATTATGTCTGTGTTTGAGTGATAAGAGGTAGCGACAGTAAAACTAATCTGATAAGACCCAAGTTCTATTCAGGATTTTCATCCCGGTCATACTAACCTCTCTGTACAAACTAATCTAAAGACCATATGTAGTTGACCATATCCTGATAGTAATTTATGAACAGATCAAAGACTAAAAATTTAACAATAATCTAAAAAGAAACTCACCTTGCAACTCGTTCCAAATAGTGTCAACTCTACCATCTTCCTCTGAAGATTTCCGATACTGTCTTACCTCTGAAATGAATATTGAAAAGGTACAAAACTGGAAAATACTGCAAAACGATGTTCTGAGCTTACTAATAAAGACATTTCATATTGTTGACACTCACCGGTTTCGATAGTTAGTAAAAAGTTGTTTTCATCAACTTTGTGAGCATCAGTGAAGGGTTTTCTAATTCATTTCATATACAAGCCTTATAATGAAGATAGAAAAACCAACAATCAAAACTATTTTACTTGTTCATGTTGTAATAGCGTACACTTGTATTCTAACATAATTTTATTATTTTGTGATATTTTGTTACTGTTTTATACAAATTACACAACCTACGACAGAAAATAAGATAAAAATATACTTTCGAAAGTCATCTTAATTGTCGCGGAATTATTATGCTGCAAAATTACGTAAAGTATTGTTTTTTCAATATAAAGTTATTTATATCAAACAAAGTATAAACTACAATGTGTAAACATATTAGCTAAAAATTGAAAACAACGCGTTATAAATTTCATGCGTCCTAAGCGATTGTCTGGATTTACCTTCACCAGGAACGCTCAAAGCGAAAATATTTGAAAGTCAAGAATGAATCAGAACCGAAATAGTTCTAAATAATTTAATTTTTTTTTTCACAGGTGAGGTAATATTATGCATAACATTTCTTATATGGAATAAATATAAGAAAATTGTGGTATGAGTGCCAATGAGTCAAAATTTATAAAAGTAAACCATTATAGGTCAAAGTACGGTCTTCACAAGGAGCCATGGGTCACACCGAACAGCAAGCTATAAAGGGCCCCAAAAATTACTAGTGTAAAACCATTCAAACGGGAAAACCAACGGTCTATATAAAAAACGAGAAACGAGAAACACTTATGAACCACATCAACAAAAGACAACTACTGAACATCAGATTCCTGAATTAGGACAGGTGCAAACAATTGCAGCGGGTTTAAACGTTTCAATGGTACCAAACCTTCACCCTTATCTGAAACAATAGTGTAACATCACACAATAGAAAGACACACTATAAAATATCAATTGAAATGAACTCAATCAAAAGACATATTAACACCAGTGAACATACACTGAACAAATAAATTTGATCTATGATACAATGTAAATACAAAATAAATAAACTAAGGGAAGAATAATTAAAGTAACATGTTATGGAAATCTGACAAAAATTGTTGATCTTGTCCTTACCACTAATATTTTTACTTCCCGATGTCAAGTTGATGGTTGACAAATACACAATCAGTATGATTTTGTACATGCTCCCTAGTGATGTTGTCGATTGAATAGTCTACAACACTGATGATAAAAAATTGAAGAAGTAGTATTTCTAGTATATAGATTATCATATTTCTTCGTTGCGTGCAGATGTATGGTAAATATATAGATATCGTTTACAACCATATGTTGCTATATGAAAATTGCGAAATGCAATTCCCGCAATCAATCATTGTAGAACAACAACAGTTAGTCTTTAAATTACAATCAAAACATTTTTTTCACTGATTGTATAGGAAAAAGAAGTTACTTAGGAGCAATTTGTTTGGAGAATTATACTGTTCCTAAAAGTTTATGTATTTGAGTGATGGTTATATTATCTTTACATATTTCTTCCCAATATTTAATTCTATACATTTGGCCTTTCTATTGAGTTATAGTTGGTTAGTAATGCATAAGTTTGAAGGCTGCTTGTGGTTTGAACATATGAAGGTTGGTTCTTACTAAAGGTACACTTGTTTCGTTTTTTAAAGCAAATTATCGTCTTTCAGGCTCCTGACTTGGGACAGGCACATACAGAATATGGCGGGGTTAAACTAGTTTGAAGACTCCAACCCTTGTGGTGTAACAGTACAGCATAAGAAAAAACTGTAAAGATGAATTGAAAAGGTTAAACTCATCAGATTGATACAAAGCAGAAATACATGTAACAAAATCACAGAGTGGACGTGGCAGGGTGCTTATACATCCTCACAACAAAAAAAACCACTAAGTACAAATCTGAGAGCACTAGTTGTAATTATGCAATTTGATTGTGATGCTGTGATGTGACGACACAGTGGCGATATACCATAAAAATGAAGTGATGTGGTATGATTACGAATTACCCAATTTTAGCAACAAATATGCGAATTTTATGAACACTTCGGCTAAATTAGTAGAAAACACGTAAATATCTTTTTTGGGGGAGGCTTGTACGTGCTCTTTATTTTTTTGTGCACCTGTGGGTAAACTTTTCACAATTTTTGGCAAGGTTGCTACTTAATTGAGTTGACTGTCTTTTAATATGTGTGATTACTGATGATTTGCAAGAATCTTTTAAAAATGTCAAAACCCACAAAGGCTAACACAAAAATAACAAAATCGGTGTATTTCTACTGTTCAGAAAAGGAAAATATAGAACAAATATCATTCTAAAGAATATGGTTGTCATTTTCATACCTCCTCCAACGCTTAGATAAAAGAAGATCAATTTTTACCGTAAGAACGGGTGGCCGAGAGTGTAAACATGTTCATTTCAATCAGATAATTCCCCCTTTTTGCTCGATGTAATAAGTCAAAAAGTTATATCAAAGAAATAAAATATCATACACTTGAATAGTTGTTTATTATATTATGTAACCATCGGATTGTCGTAAGGATATTTAATTTCAAAGCCCATACCGATGGGTTTGAATGGATCTCATATAAGGGTTTAGAATTTATGACTTACTAATATTTTATTTATACTGCTCTGTGTCACGTGGTTCAGTAGAAAAAAAAACTGTCCATCAATACAGAAACCTTTTTGTGGGTGAAGTATTTCCACTAAGTTTATCATTAATTGTCAAAATTATAGGCGAAAGAAGTTAACCAATATTAAAATGTTATTCAAATCAAGGTAATCAACAAACACATAGGTGCATCGGTTTCAGTTTTTGTATAAGGAGCACATTCATGAGTGTTTAACACACACTAGCGTAATTTGTGACCTAGGAGATGTAAACATCATTTGAAGAAGCAGATGGTATTGTACTGAGAAATCGGAAGGTGACAACTGAAAAAAAGAAATCAACACTCATAGGTTCGAGTTTTAAGACGTCCATCTGTATCAATACCGAAGAAAAGAACCAGACCTTTTACTTTCGGTGGTAACCTTAATACCAATTTTATTGGGATATATGACATACAAACACTCATTGAAATGTTGTAATTGAGTGACAGAACATTTTTAATACTGTGGATTCATTTATTTTCATGGGTATCAATTTTCGTTGATTGAGGAAAACTTGCATTTCCATGGATATTTTATTTTTTATGGTTTTGCCAAGGTCTGCATACATTCTTACTGAATATTTGTAATTCGTTGTACATTGGAATTCATGGTTCCAGGGTAACCACGAAATGCACGAAAATTGGTATCCAACGAATAATAAAGAATCAATAGTATATCTGAAAGTCAAATATGCTTCTGTTTGTCTTTGCAAAGATTCTGAACAATTTCTGTTTCATATGAGGATAAACAACAACTCGAACACGAGTTATAACTAGTTAGTCCCTATTGGAATAGCGACTTTCTGCTAAAATATAAAGCCATCAAACTCAAGAAACATGTTGTCGATTAAAAAGTCATTTTGTTATATCATCTTAGGAGTATTTGTTGTGGGAATCAGTAATTTCTTCACATAGTAATATCTTCCATGACCCAAAACCACCTTTCTATTGAACATCGGGAATAGTTGTGTAAAGGGTAGAAAAATCAACGGTTTTGATATATCTGTAATAGTATAAAGATTATGATTGAAGATTTTGGGGTAGATCTTTGGTATATTTTAAAATATTCCAGATCTGATTGAAACCGTGGTTGAATATACATCGTTACAATGATTATAGTGGCTCCTTTTAATGTAAAAAGAATAGCGTTAAAACCATGAGACGGATGTTTAGTCTAACATCTCAATTACCGGGTTTATTGTAAAGATTTTTTTCGAAGTACAAAGATAGATTTCCAGCGTCCTTTTTGTCAAAGGAGAGGACGGATTTATGATTTTCTGAAATCTCTTCTATGCTGAAAGATGTAGGAGTATAGTACGGATTCTCAGATTTGCTGTGAATTCCAAGTTCATTAGTGGGACATTCATATTTGTATTGAAGAGAAGATAAATTATCCACAACCTCGTAACTCTTTTAGGGGCCAGAAACCCGTGTGCTATTGTAGATCTTATATTTTGAATGAGCTTATGAATGTATTACAGACAGCTTTGGTTCATTATTCATTAAGATAACATGTCTAGTTTTGATTTATCTAGCATGCGCTTAAAGCATTTTCTGGCATTGATCTAAACTGCATCCATCAGTAACCTGGAGTTCTTCTTCTAGCTGATTGGTGTTGGAATTCGAGATTTCGAGCATATGGCTAAGAACTCTCTATGTTGTTTATTGTGTACGATGCTAATGTTTCCGGTTATGAAATGACCAACATGACTATATCTCTATGAAGACGATGCAAGAGAGCAATCAGGAGGTTTGAATTTTACGTCCCGGAGGGCAAAGGTCTCTAGTACCCTCTTATGCTTAAATATTATGAATGCAATAGGTTTGGTGTAGGTTTATTAAATTACAGGTGTAGTTTTATCTTTGAAGTTCCCGGGTATTGTTTTTCTGCAGATTTTTTATTAATAATGTTGCTAAAAAATTGTTGTCATCCAAACCCTTATTAGCGGATTCTTGTGGAAAAAAGCTACGTTTTTCATCATCTTTAGAAGTGGTGAACACTCGTAATTCTTTAACTAGTTTTCCTAAAAAGAACAATATAATGACAACATCAAAGAAACAAACTCTTATCATATAGTTCTGATTTGTAATGTGTATTCTTTTATTTACCGTTTGTTATTGCACTAATTTGAAAGGGTATGGTTGAGATCTAAAATATGTACTAGTGGTTGAAACCCATAATACGCGTTCTGCTACATGCTCGAAGGAAGGAAGCTCTTCATTTATTTGTGTGACGTTATATCTAATTCTTATGCAATATTTATGTAACAATTTTTTCATTGGCTTAGATGTCCCGTCAAATCCACAATTGACATGTCTTGAGTTGCCAAATTGTATTGCTCGAATCCACTAATGTTCCATTAATACAATATAATTGAAAATAAAACAACACTTACCTCAAAAACGCCGTTCTAATGCGATATTATCCAAAAAATAAATCGTACAAGTAAAGACAGGGCATTTGGTTTGAAACTTTTCTTTGGAATGACGTCATGTTTTTCCATGAAGTTTTTGCACCAAAATCATATATGAAGTTTCGTGGAATTTGATTTTATCTTAGATTAAAACATTTTTACAAGCTTTATCTATGATTTGTTTTTGTAATTCATTAGAATAGGATTGCAGTGCTAAAGTTAAAGATTTGCTGCCGTCAGTTTGGATTTGGCAGGCGCAAATATTTAACTGCTCCCGCATTGAGTCAAAAAATAAAATATTTGGCAGGCGCAAATATTTAACTGCTCCCGCATTGAAGTCAACAATAATACTTCATTTGCGACTTTCTAAGTGACAATTGACGGCGGCATCTCTTCAACTACAGTACTGTTATTCTTAGATGTTTTTGTTAATTAAGGAAGTTTATGTTGATTACACATCTTTGATATTTCCATTTTATTCATTCTTAATTCTTCACAACACAATGCATAGAACCTTAAAATTTCTATTGATGAAGACCACATTTTAATCCATAGACGTCGAAGTCTATTTTGGTTGTGACTAACCATCTCACTGAGGTATATCCCAAATATCCTTTTATCGATTTAAGCTAAATAGGTAGAAGATTCTGTTTATTAATTTTAGATGTTAGACAATCCTCTTATTCATTTTAGAACATGTCTTTTAAAAAAGAAACTTCATTTTCATTGATGAATTTTCTGATGAAGGTAAATAAAAAAAAGCGCATCGGAAGCACTAAAGTGTTTTTCCCCTTTTCAATTTGATAAATATCTAGATTGAAATTCCGTTTTCCAAAAACAAACTGTACATTAGCATTATACTCTTCAGTAATATTATCATGATAGAATACATATGTAATGGAAAGAGATGGCAACATTTGTTGTCCTGTGTAGTATTTTTGGTGATTACTGCTAACCTTTAAATGTACTATAAAGAATATTATTAACAACACAAATACTAGTATGCAAAAGCTTTGATATCGAGACGTATCTTTAAGCACACCATATATAAAATGCATGGTTTTTACATCGGATGTGACCCTGAAAGGTTATACCGGTGTTATGTTGCCGCATAAATTTCAGCACACGTCCCTTGCGCTTTTGACTGATAACCGAACGTA